TGAATTATGTATTGATCAAGTATACCAATGTCCAAGCTTCACTTTGCATACATATGTAGACTTGTTACCTGAAATCTGGACTTTAAACAAACCTAAAATCATAACTGTTCTTAGACAGCATATAATTCCATTTCAAGTATATCATTATTTATAAATTGCATTAATTATACTTTTTATTTCTAGAGGGCTTTTCATAATACTCAAGACACTTAACATAAGTTCAAATGATCATATACTGTAATACAACACACACATCTGATATAGAATGACAGTGCACCTTGTGTTTGTCTAAACATCTTGACTGAAGACGTAGTTAGAAAAAAGGTTGCCTCCATTGGACTAATTTGTTTACTTTCATAACATAGTGACATCACAACGTAACACTTGTGCCTTTTGGCTAGTACTCCAACACATTGTACGTGATAGGCTAAGGGGCGGGACATCTCTAAGCAGTTGACCAATCAAAACAGCCAGCCAGCTAACCAATCAGAGCAGACTGGGCTCTGGTTTCAGACAGAGGGTGAAAAGAGGTGCTGCAGCACAGGCAGTATGAGAAAAGTAAAGATCTTTTTGAACATTAAAGCATGGAGACATGTCACAGCAGAGACAAGAAATACAAATATGAACCTGAAAATAAAATAATAGGACCCCTTTAAACTATTAAAACTATTCAATTCTACAAGACAAGGCTACTAGATATAAACAAAACAGCATATTAAACATCACTGGAAAGATACAAAAAAACATTGTAAATTGTAAAAGAAAAGTAGAAATTAAAATAGAAACATACAAACATATGTATAAGTAATAATACTGCACGAGTAAGCTAAATAGAAAAAATATTGAAATAATGCATGTAAAATTAAAAGCAAATATTCACACTTTAAACCAAGGAAAATTAATTTTGAAACATGAACATAAAATTCAACAATACATTGCGGATTGTTACTTTGACTGTATACCCCTGCAGATGCAACACACACACACGCACGCACACACACACACACACACACACACACACACACACACACACACACACACACACACACACACACACACACACACACACACACACACACACACACACACACTCCATGTATCCTGCACATAAGCACTGCTGATCCTCGACATAAACAAATGGCCTTATCTGTTCACAACACCCCAGCCTCCCTCCTGTGCATGTGTGTGTGTGTGTGTGTGTGTGTGTGTGTGTGTGTGTGTGTGTGTGTGTGTGTGTGTGTGTGTGTGTGTGTGTGTGTGTGTGTGTGTGTGTGTGTGTATGTGTGTGTGTGTATGTGTGTGTGTGTGTGTATGTGTGTGTGTGTGTCAGGATTTGGCAGGTATTGCTGCTCAGGAAGAAAAAGAGAAAGCAATCACTAAGAATAATCACACTGCAGCAAGGAATGGATTTGCTAGAAAGGACTGCTTTTGGCTGTGTGTGTGTGTGTGTGTGTGTGTGTGTGTGTGTGTGTGTGTGTGTGTGTGTGTGTGTGTGTGTGTGTGTGTGTGTGTGTGTGACTCAGCTCACAGCCCAGCTTTGGCTTTCCCCTTGGCGAGCAGCATTTAGAATGACTTAAGCCTTCACTGCAGATAATTAGCATTTTCAGTGACTATCACTGCAGATCAGAGCAGCCGGCGGTGAGCTGCAGAATCAAACGCGTCTTGTTCGCTAATGACCTTGAAAACCAGCAGAAAATATCACAAACACACTCTCCTATTGATGTGAAAGAGTAGCACACCGTGTTGTCTGTTTCTCCCATGGGGCCTTAAGAGACAACTGTTTTAATGCAAAGGGGATACTACGGAAAAACATAAGGCTAAATGTGAATTTATCAGCATTTAACTATTTTTATATATTTATATTGTTATTTTACACATCAAATGTAATACCACAAGAAATTGAACATGGAAGTTTTCCACAGGATAAAAATGTAATATATGTTTCACATGTAAAATACTAACATCCAACCATTAATTGAATTGTATTTATGTATTTTATTCATTTATATTAGTCATTTACTTTTATTTATAACTTTTATTTTTTTAGTACGTTATAATGCAGATCATTTATAATTATATTGTATAATTAAGGTTTAATGCTTATACATGGTATTAATACAAAGGTGTAACCTATTGTCAAATATTCTACTGCAATTTTTAAATAACTACAATAATCCTTCTTATATTAAGTATTTAATCATAATAATAAAAATATTTAAAAAAGATGGGAATAAAAATGTACTTTAAACTCCAACTTAAAAATGTGTTTCCTCTCTCATTCCTGCGCAGTGACTCCAGCTGTTAGCTGTCCCACCTGAGCGTCTGCTCCCCAGTTCTGTCCCCTGGTCCGTCCCCTATAGCAGTCCCTAGCATGAGTTCCTCTCCGCTGGTGTCTCGAGCCAACATGGACATCCTGGACGAGCTGCAGCTGATCGCAGCCCAGAACCTGGAGAGGCTGGAGGTCAACAAATACTACGAGGTGATCCGGGAGCTGGGCAAGGGCACGTACGGCAAGGTGGACCTGGTCATCCACAAGATCAGAGGTGAGGGGGCACGAATGCACACGTACAAAATCCTGCTGCTCTAAATAGGCAAAACGTTTATATGCCTATTTTTCTCATATTTCGCCCAATAAGGTACAAAAATGGCTCTGAAGTTCCTGAAGAAGAAGACTACCAAGCTGAAGTCGTTCCTGCGGGAGTACAGCATCTCTCTGTACCTGTCCCCCTGCCCCTTCATCATCAACATGTTCGGCATCGCCTTCGAGACGGACGACTACTACGTGTTCGCCCAGGAGTACGCGCTGGCAGGGGACCTCTTCGATATCATTCCCCCACAGGTGCTCCATCTTCATTCTGGTTACTCTGCGTATCACTGCTTCTGGGTCAAGGACTTAAGCAAACAAATATCTATCTTGACAAGTTCTTAAATTAGTTCTTTGCATCCGAAGTTAACATTTGTAGGTCATTTACTCACCCCATTTTGTCTTAAATTCTCAAAGAAAACCATTCTCAAATGCCTCCAAGATAAACAATGAATAAAAAAAAACTGAGAAGAGAAGTCAATTTTGAGCTGATTAATAAAACTTGTATCATACGGAAGGATTTATGTAATAGTTTGTAAACAGATGTTTACTGCTGTTAAATATGGACCCCATTGACTTCAATTCATGTAGACTTTCCTCTCGTTTCGTTTTTCATTGACCATGGAGGTATATGACAAGTTTTTCAAGAATTCAACGTAACAGTGGGTTTAATAATTGATATCCAAAGTATATTTTTGTGGGTGAAGTATTATTTTAAGAAGACAGATTTGTTTTTAGTCCACGTTTTATTGTTGCATATACCATATGTATTGTGTGTAGCACTCTCTCTCCCTCTTTCCATTTCTTCAGATTGGTCTTCCCGAGGCAGTGGCAAAGCGCTGTGTGCACCAAGTAGCCATCGCTCTGGACTACCTGCACTGTAAGAAGCTGGTCCACAGGGACATCAAGCCTGAAAACATCCTCATTTTTGACCGAGAATGCCGCAAGGTCAAGCTGTCAGATTTCGGCATGACCCGCCGAGCTGGCTCACCAGTGAAACGAGTGAGTAATGTTTCTGTGTCTGATCTTACATTCCAATGCATTTCATTTATCTGAAACTCTTATCGGAAGTACATTAGCTTTCATCAAGTGCAACTGCATTGACTTCAAATAGGCCAAACCATTCATCGCTACGTACAGAAGTGAAATTAAATATATATATTATTGTCCAAGGTGCAGTCGGAACAGGTTAGGGTTTTCAGTCTGTGGCAGAAGATGTGTAACCTTTCTGCTGTCGTGACATCAAGGAAGCTTGTTTCCCCATTTTGGATCCAGGATTGTGAAAAGGTGTGTTTTTTTTTAGGGGTACGTGGGTCCAACTCACATTAAGGGGGTAACAAGCCGATTGGTTGATGCAGAGCGAAGTGCATATGCTGGAGTGCATGGTGTAATCATGTTGTGGATGTAGGAAGGGCCTGATGTTTTGCAGCACAGTATTCCAGTACTAGTGTCTTGAACCACTCAAAGTCCTTTATCCAGCGTGGTGTTGACCTGTCTCCCCTCTAGGTGAGTGGCACCATCCCCTACACGGCCCCGGAGCTCTGCGACGTGTCCCGCCACGAGGGCTTCTGCGTGGACTACAGCACGGACGTCTGGGCCTTCGGGGTGCTGCTCTTTTGCATGCTGACCGGAAACTTCCCATGGGAGAAGGCGCTGCCCTCCGACTCCTTCTACCAGGAGTTCATCCGCTGGCAGAGGAGGAGGACCAACACGGTCCCCTCCCAGTGGAGGCGCTTCACGGAGCAGGCCCTGCGCATGTTCCGCCGCCTGCTCTCCGTGGAACAGGACCGCCGCTGCTCTGTCAAAGAGGTGTTCGGGTACTTCAGCCACTCCTGGATGCTGGACGCGGAGAACAACAACAACAACGGGAACAGCAACGGAAACAGCAACAGCAACGGCAACAGCAACAGCAACACCAACACCAACAGCAACAGCAACAGCGCAAGTGGTGGAGAGAGGGTTGGCGGTGGTGGCGGGGAGAGAGGAGGTGCGCGGGGAGAGGGGAACACCACCATCTCCTCATCTTCTTCCGGGGAGGAAGACGAGGAGCTGCTTGTGGAGAGGATGAAGCAGCAGACTTTATCTCCTCTCTCCCCGCTCTCTCCTCTCTCTCCCACGTCTCCGGTGGCGGCGGAGAGGGGGAGCGGCGGCGGGGCCAAGGGCGGGGGGATGGAGCCAGGCGGAGGCCACCATTTTGTGTCCGTCTCCACCAACAGCTCCGTGTCGTCCACCAACAGTTACGACCGAATGCCGCGGGAAAACAGTTCCCCGGGAGGGCGCATGCTGGTGGCCACGCCCATAGAAATCTGCGTCTGAGTGCGTCAGAACATTGATGTTGTCACAGACTCACTGGTGCCAATGTATACCTCTCATCCAACCACATGCATGGAAACAAACAGACAATGTTCTAACACGTATCCTGATCTAAACATCTTGGGAAAGGCATAGCACATACAGAAGACTTTACAGAGAGTATTTGTAGAATGCATACATTCCTCATGAGGTAGGCTTTTTGGACTCCAAAAGAAGCCCACTTTACTCTTTAATGTCAGTGTGCAAATGCCTTTTTTTTAAGCCCAGAGGAAAATGAAATATTGCTTCCTTCACCATCCGAAAAGACCAAAATGTATTTCTAAAAGCAATACTTCCAGCAAAAAAAGGCAAATAGAGACCATGTGGCAGACTGCTGTAGGATCGCTTCTGAACGAAGCCAAGGGTCAAAGGATTTGTATTTTTGAAGAAGACTATAACAGAGTTCAAGGAAATACATGTAAGATAAAAAAGGAGCGAGCAGTGGTTTTAAATGTTTTATGTGTCGGAAAAGTGTGAGTGAATTTGTTGTGTGTAATTTAATTATTTATTTTAATTTAAATAGACTACTTTTTTCTATTGTTTGGTTACTCTTTTACCGTTCAACTTCACGTTGTATTCTGGCATAGCTGTGCCAAATCCATTTGGTTGGCTGCTGTTCACATTGGAATAATACGACTGTATACGTTTTGACTATTGTAATTCAGTACGTCCACGAGCGGAAGCCTCTGATGTCTTTGTTCTTCAAGTCAAACATATCTTCTTCATTGTTGAAAGACTTTTTTTCTACTCCCTCCCAAAATTATATTTGTAAAGCTTCCGTTTCCTTTGATTTTTTTAAATTCAGTTTGTATTGTTTGTATTTTCTTTGAAACTTTAAGCAAAATTAATTGCCTGAAAAAGGAAAGAGTAATGATGACTTAGCATTTTCAAATCAATCTGAAGGAAACAATAATAATTACCTTTTTATAAATTGCATGACGAGTAGCTCAAACGTACCTTTATGAAGAATTTGAAGCGGCTTTATGAAAATGTACTTGAAAGATTTACAAAAAGAAACGTAAAATGTTGTGATGTAGATTTTTTGCCGTAGCACAATTTCTTGCATAATGTTCCTCAAGTGAATATTGCCGTCATGATCTCTTGAGACATCCTAGGGCTAAAAAATCTGAACAATAATAGTTTTTATTCTGTGTGTTGTATTTGTATTGCTATAAATGCCGTGTACTCATCTCACCAAATCAAGGAACCGAAGAAAAAAAACAAAGCATGAGGACATAGAATTTAAACACAGAGGGAATTCAATTGTGTCTTTTTTTTTCTAAATTGCCACCTTTAGTCAAGTAGTGCGGCGTTGGTTTTCTACCAAGTTCAAATGAACTGAAAAAAAGTAATCCATTCCTTTCGTTGACAAAAAAAATGAAGAAAAAGAACCTTGGATTATGCATAGGAATGGGTGTGTGTTGCTTTCCAGACATATATTCTGCATGAACTTGTATGTGCTAAAGCTCTATTGTGAAAACCTGCTCAGTGTTTCTCCTGCCACAAGCTGGTGTAGTATAGCTGCAACAACAACATGTTTCTTTATCTGGTGAGTCAGTAGCCTCAGCTTGGATCTGCCTGAACGAGGATCAGCTAAACTCAGCTTAACGAAATCGTTTGGATCATGTTCGTCGAAGCTGATCAGATAGCATGATGCAGATGACTACATCTTGTGACAATCTCTGACCTCATTGGCAGCCTTCTGACTCCGAACAAAGGACAGTCCTGATACAGAATCTGTAGCCGTGCTGTTCTTTAGCTCTCCATCAGCCAGCTGCAAGCTGAACGAGCTCTTCAGCATTTACTGTGTGAGCTCCAGCACATCACATGACTGTATGAAGAAGAGATTACATGGGCCTGTACATGACCTCATAATGTCATTATTGCCCCCCTAAAACCCCTTGTACTGCTCCTTAGCACTTCCCAGATGTGTTTACACTGAATCATTCATCCTAGCAAACTATTTAATTTCCCAAAAAGTAAAGTGAGAAATCCTGTAAAGCTGGCAGTGTCTGGGTTAAGGGTTGGCCGGAGATGGCCTCTAGGTCTGTCACAGGCGCTAATCAGAATATGTGTTTTTTTAAATGATATGAAACATACCCTACATGCTGTAGTTTTATCATAAAAATGCTGAGCCTCCATTGCCCTATTTAAAGTCAAGCTAACATTTGACTGCTAGCATTTGACTCTGTTGTTGTGGTAATGCTAAATGTTGGCATTTGTATCAATCAATCAATCAATCAATCAATCAATCAATGTTTATTTATATAGCCCAATATCACAAATGTTACATTTGTCTCAGTGGACTTCACAGTTTGTACAGAATATCAGTATGACAATACGACACCCTCTGTCCTTAGACCCTCACAACGTACAAGGAGAAACTTCCAGAGAAACCCCACAGTTTAAAGGGGAACATGGGACAAACCTCAGGGAGAGCAACAGAGAAGGGATCCCTCTCCCAGGACGTGCAATAGATGCCGTGTGTAAATCGAAGAGATAATACATTTTACAGCATGGGTAGACCAAATGTTTGGAAATGCATGTGTCTATAATAAGAAGATGAATCCACGAGGATGTCCGTAATCCTGTGCGAGCCATCAGGGAAGTAGTATGATGAGAGTCAGGCAGGACCGCAGAGACAGGTTCAGCCACGACTCAAAGTCCAGGACTCAAATCCAGAACTCAGGATAGAGGATCCAGGACACAGGACCACAGCAACAGGATCAGCCTCGACTCAGGATCCCGGCGTAGATATAGACACCAAAAAGACATTTGGGGGAAGCTGGGTTATTGGGAACATGAGAGTACACAGGTACAGACAGAGAGAAGGAAGAAGTAAGGTATCCCCCGACAGTCTAAGCCTATAGCAGCAAAACTAACGTGTCTACGTACATGCACTCCCTTAGGATAGGTTGAGGGAAAGGGGTAGCAAGTAAGAAGTAAGGAACAGAGGTGGAGAGGCACAACGTGTCTACGTACATGCATTCCCTTAGGATAGGGTGAGGGAAAAGAGTAGGAATTAAGATGTATGCGCCACATCTATACCATGAGCGCATTGCTCCTAAAAGGTTTTTTGGCACTGACACCAATCAACAGTTGTGCGTCGACTCGGCAGGGATCAAGGCACGTATATGCCTCTCCCTGCTTCCACCGTCTACACACACAACCAAATGACATCTATACCATGAGCGCATTGCTCCAAAAAGTGTGACACCACAGTTGTGCGTCGACTCGGCGCACAACTGTCGGTATGCAAACGTTGTTTGTATTTTAAAATGTAGTATAAAAGGCAGTATACTGGTGTCAAATCCAAGAGCCTTCCACACATTGCTACGCAAATGAGCTTGTGTACAGCTCTTTGTTTCCTTCATTTTACGTTAGCAAACAACTGTGTAGTTCACTGAGGGAAACGGGGCAGGCGAAATATCAGAGCGAATGTATTTAGCTTCTGTGCTAATTCAGAGAATTTTCAATTCAGGCTAATTATTCCAGATTGAATATACATTTGTTTTTGTGTTCAAATGGTATTTCAAATTTGTAATTAAAAGTGACAGACCCAGGGACCAGCATGAAGACTAAAGTCTAGCCACCCCATAGGCCATCACTCTTTGTTTTTGTCTTCAGGACCTTTAAAGCTAATAGCTAGCTTACGTTAGCTTACATTCTCCTTTGTTGTGCAAGATTTAGATTAAAAGTGCTCTGTGGAGTTTTCGTGAAAACAAATATGATGTTATGTTGGTACATGGCTACATTTCTTGATGTGTTACTGGCACTTATTGTCAGCGGAAGAGGCTAAAACCATGACAGGATGTGAATTGTGCTACTAGGCAAATGGTCACCGGCTGAAGAAAACATTGCTCATAGCACTGCTAATGGTCAAAAGCTCCACAGGTTACCTTTAATTAGGAGGCACAAAATGTTTGCATATCGAATGTATGTAAGTGTGTTCTGAAATTGACTTTACAATGTTTAGGCCCACAAGACTGCTTATTTTAGTCACATTTTGGTAATCTTCAAACATCTGAAAAGCCTATTAAATATAATCTCTAATGGTGTACTGTAAGTTTGGTTTTTGAGTGTGTGAACAAAAAAAGAATGATCCAAAATAGCGACTGTGGCACTGAGCCATACAGGAAAATCTGAATATGTGCCAAATGTATTTGGTTACAGTAGGAGAACTGTTGCCTTCACTTGGTGCAATACAGATTTATTTACTTGAAATATGTATTTGACTCGGCCACAATGTAAAGACTAAGACTATATAAAGAAAATGCAGGCTAAATTTGATTATAGTAAAATGTTTGCATAATTTCACCCTAGTGGATTTTTGCATGAAGCAACAATTAGACCACAAATTGTTGGAATGGATATTTTGGAATAGCTACACAACTTACGTATGTTATGATCAGCCCCAGTATCCGCTGCAGTCACTCCAAACTTGAACCGTGATCCTTTTCTTCACTTCAGCTGCCTCCTCTCTTCATCATATCGTCATGTGTTGTAATGGAGCTCCTGTGTCTTTCTGTACAGTGACCTGTTCCGAAGCTTAATGTGTTGGTAGAGTTTTAGTCAGTAGATGACCACAGCTCTAGGACTCGTATCCGGTTCTGTCTTTGCAATACAACTGTCTTCCTGTAAAATGAGATTTAGTCAATAAAATGAGAATTGCTGTTGGAGTTAAATCTTTGGTCTCTGGTTATTTCCCCAGGACTCACATTCGATGAATAAGGACAAAGCAAGACATACAGGCTCAGTTGATTAATACAAGTTTGTCTCATCCCAGTAGTTAGAATAAAATGAATTGAGTGGCATGTTGACATCAGAGACTTTTAGAATTAATTGTGTATCTTTTCTTTTGTATGCCTGTATTAATGTAAGAATTAAGTGAAAAAAGGATTTAATTCATCTTAATTTATTCAGCTGTGAATTGATGATTAAATAAATAACAACATTTTTAATTATAAAACATTTAATTTTTAATTGGTGGTCACACTTCCACTCCAGAGCTAACTACAGTCCTTTGGGACATATACAGTGTTATAATGTCTTGCTGATACACACATATTTAATTTTGTATAAAATAACTTATGAGTTATAGTTCTGAGATGCAATTAAATTATTTAATAATTAACTGTTTCATACATTCTTACGGTTAATACAATGAATTTTTACTTGCTTTCAAAAATGTTGTTAATTGTTTAATTTGGAGCACTATATTATCAAAAAAATGCATATAAGCAAATGTTTTATGAAATGTAACATTTTGAAACCAGTCATCCAAAGACAAAAATCTCTTATAAAACCACAACGTTAAACAAAATATTTATTTTGGACAATTACATGACCTCTGCTGCTCCAAGAGGTGAGCAAGATGGTACAAAAGATTCCAATAAAATAAAAAGCATGAAAAAAAAGTGACACGAGTTGGCAGTCCTAGTCCCATGTTGAACCTAAAATCACCACAGCAGACACACACATGGAGGAGGCGCTGGAATGTGATGAGTAGTGTGTACCAGGACATATGACCACATCCTGCTACATGTATTAATGCTCCAGTCAATGTGGGGTCAACACAACGAGTCCAGAAAAACCGAAAAGATTAAATTATTATTAGAATATCTGAGATTCAGCCCTGAGATTAACACGCACACAAAATCATTTTGAAATCCAAACATTTTGTAAAACATATTCCAAAATCTGTATTTGGTACAATGCAAACAATTTAATGTAATTGAAAAAATATTCAAAAAAACCCTATAAAATACACAAATCACAAGGATGGCACAAATAAAACAGACTTGTTCCAGGATGAGGAGATTGGTGTGTGTCGTGCTTTAAAAAGGAGCTCACTGGTCTTAGACAGCACAATGCTGCCCCCTATGGGCGCTATGCAGAAGTACATAGACAAACACCAACACTGATCACATGTAGATGTTTCTCTAAAAAGAAGAGGCAGGCTCGCAGCACCTGATAATACTCATCACAGTGCATGGGTTCAACATGTCCCAGAGTTCATTAGGAACCGCTCTACCGTGTTCTGGGATCACTAACATGAAGTCTGCAGAGGAAAAGTGCATGAAAGCTGCCTTTAGTCCTCAACGTGTCCATAGAGAGGTGATTTACATCCGCTGATTTGTCATTGCACCACAAGCAAGTGAGAATAGGAGAAACTACTTCCTGTCCAGATAAGGCTTTTTCAGGTTCTGGTGGGAATTCACCATTTAGGACCAAGTGAAGAAATACATTGCAGAAGAGGATCAGGAATCTTTACACTAACACATGCATTCAGATTAAAATAAAGAATGATGTACACCAAGCATGTCAGCTTAGGAATATGCACAGAACCATCTTAACACAGATAAAGTTGTGGTCTTTTTATCCCAGAAGAATGTTGAGGTACATTAAAAAGTATTTGAATGCTGTGCTGCAAAAATCAGAAAATGAAACTGATTCCTCCCCATGAGTGCAAAAAACCCAAAGTAAACAGCGGATGACTTTAACTGAAAGAAATCCAGCAACAAATCTAGGCCTGCTTTCATGTACGAAACTCTCAACAAATCATACGGAAGTTCCATTAACTGATTTACTAGCCGTTTCTATAAACACAACACGGGCAGACTTACATTCTCCCTGTCTGAAGGGGGAGGCCAAAGTGCTTTGAGCCAAATAAAAATCACAAGGTCTCATCCTGATGGCTGGAAGAAGCTTTAAACCTCAAAGAGCCACACAGGGAGCCTGAAGCAAATGATATATGACACAGTAAGGGGTGGGGGGGGGGGGCGGCTAAGGTAATACTGCAGCCGTAGCAGAAGACCAGACATTGTCACTCCAAAGTGCTTTCTGCTAAATAAACCCTCCATGAGAATACATTCAAACACTAACTGTTCGGTCTCCTGGGTAACTTCATCTGGGCCCAACGTTTAGTGCAAGTGTTGTTGGAAACGAAACCATGTGCTATGATCCAAAAAGCTCTCCCGTTAAATAATATGGAACCCTGTTGTTTTGAGAGCGTCCAATCAGGTACCTTGTTCTGCGAGTGTCTCATCTCCATTGAGCAGCATCTCCCTTACCAATAACTTAAAAATCACACAATCATACCTCTTCCACGAGAAAAGTCCAGGAATAAATATAACCAAATATTAGCAGATACTTAAAAAGTCTTTAAAAAAAATTAAATATCTTTGATTGTATCCATATTTAGTCCAGGAACAGAACAAATCCATATAAATAGCTAAAGCTTGAGAACACAAATGACAAATTCTATGCAAGGGTGGGTTTCCTGTCTCCAGCCACAGTGTGGGGGTCAACAGTCAGAGGGTGGAGTTAAGGTTTACGGGTGCTAGCTGTCAGTCAGAAGATACCCTGGTCCACTGTTGCCGTGGTTACCAGCAGAAAAGGAAGGAGAGGCCCTGCAGGATGTTGCGTGTGAATGTCTGCATGAATAAAAAGAAAGAAATATTTCAAAAGTCAAGAATTTGCATGTTTTTCTTGTTCTGATGAAAATAATGCGGTGATAAGAGTGGTACAGTGATGTGACAGTGATGTGACAGTGACAGTGATGTGACAGTGATGTGACAGTGATGTGACAGTGATGTGACAGTGATGTGACAGTGACAGTGATGTGACAGTGATGTGACAGTGACAGTGATGTGACAGTGATGTGACAGTGATGTGACAGTGATGTGACAGTGATGTGACAGTGACAGTGATGTGACAGTGATGTGACAGTGACAGTGATGTGACAGTGACAGTGATGTGACAGTGATGTGACAGTGATGTGACAGTGATGTGACAGTGATGTGACAGTGACAGTGATGTGACAGTGATGTGACAGTGACAGTGATGTGACAGTGATGTGACAGTGACAGTGATGTGACAGTGATGTGACAGTGACAGTGATGTGACAGTGATGTGACAGTGATGTGACAGTGATGTGACAGTGACAGTGATGTGACAGTGATGTGACAGTGACAGTGATGTGACAGTGATGTGACAGTGATGTGACAGTGATGTGACAGTGACAGTGATGTGACAGTGATGTGACAGTGACAGTGATGTGACAGTGATGTGACAGTGACAGTGATGTGACAGTGATGTGACAGTGATGTGACAGTGACAGTGATGTGACAGTGACAGTGATGTGACAGTGATGTGACAGTGATGTGACAGTGACAGTGATGTGACAGTGATGTGACAGTGACAGTGATGTGACAGTGACAGTGATGTGACAGTGATGTGACAGTGATGTGACAGTGATGTGACAGTGATGTGACAGTGATGTGACAGTGACAGTGATGTGACAGTGATGTGACAGTGACAGTGATGTGACAGTGATGTGACAGTGACAGTGATGTGACAGTGATGTGACAGTGATGTGACAGTGACAGTGATGTGACAGTGATGTGACAGTGATGTGACAGTGATGTGACAGTGACAGTGATGTGACAGTGATGTGACAGTGATGTGACAGTGACAGTGATGTGACAGTGATGTGACAGTGACAGTGATGTGACAGTGATGTGACAGTGACAGTGATGTGACAGTGATGTGACAGTGACGTGACAGTGATGTGACAGTGATGTGACAGTGATGTGACAGTGACAGTGATGTGACAGTGACAGTGATGTGACAGTGATGTGACATGCTTGTATTAGGCCGACCAGGAAGTTAGCATCACAAAGGCTTTATCGACTAAATGCAATGGGATTTGGTTGATTTGATTATATTGCAGAAAATAATCTCTCTGGCAAACAAACATTTATGATGCTCACATGTTTTGTTTGATAATCAGCACTTCTTTGTGATTTTTAATCAGTAAATGCAATCTCTAGAAGTAATAAGCTAACATTAGACTATAAACCAACGACCAACGACATCACCGTACAATTGAGTTAAAAGTATTGTTTGTAAAGTCACTACATCACTTTCATGAAACCTAACATGCTGTAAAGGTTCATGCTATTTGGTGAGAGAGGGAAAGTGTTCAAATGCTCATTTTGGGACAATTATTTTACGGCAACATAGAAGTTCTCCAAGAAACGTAGGATGAGGTTTCAGATCAAAAGATTCATCACTTTGGTAATAGAATGCCCTGAATAGAAACCAATGGTACATTTCTGAAACGCTCTCTTTATATTATATGTATATATATTTATGCTTAATAAATAACTTCAGTATTGTACTACATACAGTTTGGGAACTTAAAAAAACCGTGTTAAATGTAATGCTGGATTCTTTGAGGTCTCCCATCCTCTTTGACTCTTTGAGTAATGTTTCCTAAACGTGTTACTCCAGAAGACATGAAGCAGAGCAGAATGAAGCTCATCCCATTGCACCTGTATAATGACAATAAAGGATTATATTCTACATCATCTTACCTCGTGATGTTTCTGCTCCCGCTGTCACCTGTCATCCCTTCGGTTCCCTGGAGGGGCTTTTAATCTTTTGTTCTGGGGTTGGAGGAGGAAAATATCAGGCTAATGATACAGTCAAACATATCTTTGAAATAGTGGATAGGTAGGTCTCATATACTGTAGCATACACATTGAGACACGTTATTGTAGTTATCTCTGCTCACCTTGTGCTTTTTACACTTCATGGAAAGGTTTTCTTCAATGAGTTCACCATCTGCCAACGAGAACATTACAGGAGTTAAAGAGGCCACACTTCATCCACTCTTCCTCGTCCTGATCTTACAATGTCCCTGTCCTCCTCTGCTCAAATCAGGTGACCTTGTGAGGCAGCTGGATATGCAAGGTCAAAATATATTGAGAATTACAGGAATAGCTAGTGTGTTATTGCAGAATCTCTACCAGTAGAAACATTTGACTAGGTGTTGGGGAAATATTTCCCAAGGCCCATAACTTTGACCCAGTTTATCAGTTCTGTCCTGACTGAGCACACGCACCTGTAACCTTGGCTGCTGTGCTCTCAGTGTTTTGTCTCCCTGTTCCTGCCTGTTGGCGTCAGCTGATAGAGGTGTTATGGTTCTATCTTGTTATGCACAATGTTGATTATTCTCTCTGAACTAGCTAAATACATGGGTCTGGGGTAGAGTTCTTCAGAATTGACGTGGCAACTCTACCGTGAAGTCAGAACCTCTGGCTCTTGGACTTGTTTTGTGAATTCTCCGGCCGAAGCTCCAAATAAACCCATCAGTGTTTGACATCAAAGCTCCAGCTCTCCCATGTCTCCTTTGAGTCGGTGACTCCTCTACACAGAAGGTTCCCCCACACTAGGGATGCACCAATTGCACATTTCTTAGCCGAAACTGAAAATGACAATTTTGCCAATGCTGATGATTTCTGTTTATTTCATTGTCTTTTATTCCACTTTTGGTTAAGGGAAAAATTGAATTGATTGAATATTAACCGTCTTTACAGATTCTTCGGTTAACAAAATCCTGCAGCATGTGAGAGTGATGCCGCTCCTCACAGGGGAGGGGAGACCCCGTCCGAAATCCTTTAAGTTACGGTCGAGTGCCCTGAGTCAGTGTTCTAGTCTTTCAAAATGACAGCCTCCAGATTTGATCAGTTATTATTGATTTCCATGTGGCTAATGAGACCTCTGCAGTAAGAGTAATAAGTCAAATGGCCCAGCAAAACAGCTAAACGTCGGCTACTGCCACAGGCACACGTCAGCTTATTTGCAGATGAGAGATAATAGGGATAACATGTTATGAGTGTAGCTGGAGGTCAGAGCAGCACTCACCTGACTGCAGAGCACAGCGGTAGTGGTATTTGTTGGGACAGCCTTTGAAGAAGCAGCCCAGAGTAGCACCGGGTTCACTGCACGCCGAACACATCTACAATACACAAGAGACAAGGTCAAACAAGGACATCTTCTACATGTCTGCGAACAACATGCTTGGTTACAATATTTTTCTGATATATCTTACACAACATCATTACTCCCATTTAAAAAAAAATACATGTATTCAGGGATGCAAACTCATCAGGTATGAAAAAGGTGACAAGGATCCGAGCCCCCCGACCCCACGGAATATCGGCTTTAAAATGAGGAATAACAGGATTTTAGCAGTCAGAACAACTAAAGCAGTTAATAATAACAGAAACGCCAAAGAGTCACATCTAATAGAAATGTATAAAAGCATTTCTTTTAATTGTGTAGCAGTCAGTTTATAATTTTGGCAGGACTGTTGAGCATTTTGAAAATGTATTTTCATGCCTCTGTGCAAGGCTTAGTCTTTCTATCTTTATAGCCACTGGTGTAAAGTAACTTCAGTAAGTTCATAAACTCAAGTACTATACTTGGGTACAATTTTGAGATACTTGTACTTTATTTAAGTATTTCAATGTGTTGCTACTTTGTTATTCTACACCACTACAGTTCAGAGGTAAATGGTGTACTTCTACTCCACTACATGTATTTAATACCTTTAGTTACTTTACAGATCTGGATGAATGATGTGAAATATAATCAAGTGTTAAATCAGACTTTAGTTTCACCTGGAGTAAATCCACAAGCTACCCTGCAGTATACAAAGTCATTCAAACTAGCTGCACCTTTACCAGCTTTGAGAACACTTTCATGATCAATCATTATAAAACATATCATATATATTATTCTGAAATGGACTAATCTGCACAATGACTACTTTTACTGTCGCTACTTTAACTATATTTTGATGAGAATACTTTTCTACTTTTACTTGAGGAACATTTTGAATGCAGGACTTCTACTTCTACTTTTACTCAAGTACAAGACCTGAGTACTTCTACTTTTACTCAAGTACAAGACCTGAGTACTTCTACTTTTACTCAAGTACAAGATCTGAGTACTTCTACTTTTATGAACAAGACCTGAGTACTTCTACTTTTACTCAAGTACAAGACCTGAGTACTTCTACTTTTACTCTAGTACAAGACCTGAGTACTTCTACTTTTACTCAAGTACAAGACCTGAGTACTTCTACTTGTACTCAAGTACAAGATCTGAGTACTTCTACTTTTATGAACAAGACCTGAGTACTTCTACTTTTACTCAAGTACAAGATCTGAGTGCTTCTACAAGATCTATACTTATACCACCTCCGTTTATAGCCTATGAAAAAAAACTATTAGAAAACGAAGGCTAAAGCTAACGTTAACAGATAGTGACAATGTATGCTAGTTAGCTAGCTCAACGATTATATTGCGACAGGAACACTTTTCAGTTCACATCACGCTCTGCCGCTCCGACAGGGAGCTCTGATCTGAACACCTGAACGGCCCGTTCTAACAGCTGTTCACCAGCGGTCCAGTCTGTGCCACAGTGACTCCGGACCGCACAGTTAATATTAACGAACGCACCCGTAGGTAATGTAGCTGCTGAAGTTAGACCCTCATCCCGGAGCAGCAGAGCCTTATTATACATCCATGAGCAGAGCCGACAGGCAGGAAGACTCGAGCACACAGCTCGCGCTTCATTATAATATATAAAAAAAGAACACCATGCGTGTCATGATGGCACATAACAGCTCGCGGCCGCAGATTACTCCGGGTCCCAGACCCCCCCCCATACCCCAAAAATATTTTTATTGCAGATCTACATGAATCACACAAACGACCTATTTTGGATTCAAAACGGCGAATTTCGCCGAAAGGTGACAAGTTTGCATCCCTGTGTATTACTTCAATCTGACGGTAAAATCTCAAGGCTGCATTCACCATTGTTATTTTTGTATGTATCTTGCTCTGTGAAGCACTTTGGGCTGCATCTTGCATGAAAGGTTCATTATCACCATAGAAAGCCGTAGACACACAGACGTTTTTAATCAAGTTATTTAAATCGTTAGCAGCATTATAACTACATCAGCTGTGAGGTATGAGATTGACAATTATGTCCTATAATTATCTTTAAAAGAGCAGTTCTTGTTGAAATGCACAATAAACTAGACCTTCAAGCAATGCAAAATGTGACATCTTGTAAACATGTTTTGCTTGCATGCATGAATCATTTCCAATCTTTTCCTAACTGACATTGGCCTCAGTTATCAAGCTTTTATTTGATAACACATTCAATACCTATTAGTATCCTAGAGAAGGGAAAAACCAGTAAGTAAGCAGGCAGACTGTTAACATCATCATGCCTAATAGAGATGTCCCGATCCGATCACGTGATCGGGGATCGGAGCCGATCACGTGATTTTCAAAAGATCGGAATCGGGAGAAAAAAATCGGGGATCGGAATCTTTTTTTTTTTTAATAAAATATTTTTCTTATTTTATTTAATGTTACAAAACAAAAATGACCATGTTCACGTCTTAAAGTCATCCTGAGGCCTTAGTTTTGGTTTAAAATTACACAACATCATGTATGTGTTGCTTCTTTTGGGCTTGTTTTCATAGACCTGGTTGCTTATTTCTCTCAAATCTGGCAACAGAGTGGGCAGGGCGCAGTGTCTAATAGTAGCAGTAAGCTAACGAGAGGCTACGTTCAGCTGGTGACTCGGGACAGAGAAAATGTCAGGAGTTTGGAAGTATTATAAAATTGAAAGCCAGATGCAACGTTTGGTGGAAAGAACAGAGCTACGTTCAACACGACCAATCTAATACGCCACCTGAGAAACAAACACCAACAACAACACAACGAGTACACAGCGGCCATTCAGGTAACGGCACTGAAACAACCAACACTTTCAGAGACTTTTAAAAGAGAAACTGCCCCAGAACAGTGAAAAGGCCAAAGAAATAACAGCCAAGATAGCTGAATTCATCGCGTTGGATGACCAGCCGCTATCTGTGGTGGAGAACGTGGGGTTTAAGGGACAACTTGAATGCTTTTCTCCTTTTTTTTCTCTTAATGCATTGCATAAAGATCGGATCGGGAAAAATCGGTATCGGCAGATTGTCAAAATCAAATGATCGGAATCGGATCGGGAGCAAAAAAAGGTGATCGGGACATCCCTAATGCCTAATCATCTGTTCAGTTACAGCTCTATACCAACCACCTCTCCCTGTGGAAAAGTGGAATCATTTATTCAGATTAAGTGCAGTTTACCATCTCCTGCGCCACCTTCACAGCCTCCTCCAGCCCGTACACTCTGCCCTTCACCAGGAACACGCCTGCGGCCCAGATGCCGCAGTCTTCGTGGAGCCAGTACTCACAGAGCTTCATAGGGAGCACAGGGGGGCTGTACCAGTCCTCCACATCAGCAGCAGAGCCAGGGTCTGCCCGGGCCCGCTTAGCTGCAGGGCTGCCGGGGCCGTCCGCTGCCCACAGCTGGCTCTCCAGGAGGCCCTTCTGCTTTAACTTGGCTCCTGGCCTGAGGGGCCGTGGTTTGGATGGAACGGCCCTCTTCCCCCCCCTGCCTCTGATGTCACAGGATGAGGAGTCTGAATCACTGTCTGCTTCCTGTTTGAGGTCCGACACTCTGGCTGTTGCTTTGGTGTTGGGCCGGTACTTTTCTGGATAATAGGGCCCGTGGAGGTCCCCCAGGTCCATGGCGTTGGCCGCCCCCCCGCACAGGCAGCAGACCAGAGCGCGCTGGTGCTGGCTCTGCAGGGAGGCCCGGCCCAGCTGCAGACAGGAAGTGCTCGGTATCACAGCAGAGACAAAGCCACAGTTCTGGGCCTGCTGCTGGGAGCCCTGCTGCTGGGGGCCCTTCTTGAGTTGTGTCCCCACCTCCTCGGGGTAGTTGATCACGGTGTACAGTGATGGCAATGACTTACTCTCCACACGGACGAACGGAGAGAAATTGTCCACCCTAAAGTGCCTTTTCTCCTCCTTGTAGTTGACATACTTCAACTTGATCTCTGGCTCTCTGGGGGAGAAAATGGAAGTCGACTGAATCCATGTCTGTTTCTTTTGCCTCCTCCTGGGAGTGCGGGCCCCCTTAGGCTTGGCAGATGTTTTGCTACCTGTAGCCTTGCCTTTGGCTTTGCCTTGGCTTTTCTTTGGAGATTTGGATGACAGTGCAGGGGAACATCTTTCCACTGAGGGGTCAGAGTGAGAGACATTCTCTGGCTCTGGTAGGTTTCTGTGCAGAGGACTGGATTGTGATGAGGGTTTCCTCTTTGCATTCATATGGCTAGTCTGTGGTGAATGTTCCGTGTGTGAAACATCCTCTGGCTCCTTCTTCAAATTATTTTGTACAGCTAACCGAGAGCGTTTTGGAGGTGTGCAGCCGTTAGAATTAGTAGAATTATTGATTTCAGAATCAGAGGTAGATTCATTGCAATTGTCAGTTTTCATGTTATTAGTTTTACCTCTTTTCATTGCTTTTTGTTTCATTGTTTTCACCGAGACAGGCGCTTTTGCTCTGCTTTTCTTTTTCCCTACTGACAAGATGTCAATTTTCTGAGGATTGGTTTCCTCAGAATCACTAGCTGTCGATTGGGAAGCCTTTGCTTTCTTATTGGTGCGTATGCGTCCTGACACTTTATACCTGCTGGAGTTAATGTCCATTACTATAGCCTCTAACCGCGTCCCTCTGCCCGGCCGCACTGGCAGTTTCTTTTTTGTTAAAGTTCTCTGTGATGCCTTTGCATTACCGTTCATGTGAGGAATAGTCTTATTTTCCGAAACATCTGACACACAAAAGTCATCTGTCAAGTCAATCAAAGGCTCCAGCACTGCCTTTCGTTTGTGCACAGGCTGCCTATTTTCAGCCCTTGAATCTAACTTTGTGGTACTATTGCTGATGCCAAAGCCTTCCTGAATGGCCCCCTCTGTCTTCAATACATCCCACGCAGCCTCTTCACTGGTGTCTGGGTAAGAGTTATCGCCGCTGGGTGAGCTGGAGGCCTGAGGCAGGGTGAACATATCATCCACATTGTCCAGTGAGGTAGCAGCCGGGGAGACTGGGTCCTCCAGATGACTGCTGTACTCCCTGCTTAGTGAACACAGTTTAGATCTCACAGCTGGGTCCTGTTTCTTAGACATAAGAAAGAGCACCTCAGAGTCACTCCTCTCCTCATCCTCCACTGTGGCAGGGGTGAGTGTCTCCGGTGACTCAGCACAAACTCCTGAACTCAAACAGCTATCCCCATTTCCGTTGTGAGAACCCCGACTAATTTCCACAGAATGGCTGTGTTCCTTTTCACCTTTTCCATGCTTATCTTTGTCCCAGTTGCTTGAAATCACTCCCCCATTGTTCTCTGGTCCCACATGTGCCTGAGACAATGACTGAAAAAGTTCTGTCTGAGTGGCGAGGTCCACAGGCCCATCCACCTGCTCCAAATAATGCTGGTTGAGTGCATAGCCAGTCTCCCCAAGCCCTTCATCCGTGTCAGGAGGGTGGAAGGACAACTTGCTAATAGGCTGTACATCATAGAGCGCTGAATGCAGAGGCAGGGAGTTGTGAGAGGAGAACATATGGGACCTGCTCACATAGGAGAGGGTGACTGTAGTGTGGGAGAAGGCATTGTCTGGTTGGAGTTGATCCCCTGATTGGAGAGTCGTGTCCGAGGAGCCGGTCTCTGAGAAGGGTAATCCAGGGTTGCTAGTGGCCGAGTTGGGGTGCCAGGAGAGGTCTTGAGGCTGTAGGTCATCTATGCTCCCAGGTGGCTGCTCCATAACAACTGCAATAGATGGAGAGGAGAAAATAAAGTGGTGCAGCTTATAAGAATGATTTAGGAGGAAGCATAACATTTAAGTATAACTGTTTTTTTTTAACCAAAATGAGATTATTTGATATTTTTCAGGAACTTGAGGTCATAGTTTAACAACTTTTGATTAAAAAAAAGGGTTTCCCTTTGTTGTTGTGTCATTCAATAAAAAAAAAAGTCTATTACAGCTAACGTTTACATTCATAACGTTTACATTAGCTTGAAAATTCGAATTTTAATAACGTCGGTGTTGTTGGCTCATTTCCAAATTTGACATAAAATGTTTTGAATGTTCATAATATAAAAGTTAATAGGTTATGTGGATATTGTCTTTGTTAGACCAACTGCTGACTTTTTTTTTTTTTTTAACCACCAACGTTGACAGGTCAGGGTTGCTACATAGTTAGCTTAGCCTAGCAACAGCTAGCGTTAGCTAGCTAGGCCCGGTTTAGCTCCGGCTGCGTTGCCGTAAGCAGAACTACATGAAATATTGTACAGCTTAAAGCTATTTCCATTAAAGAAACGAAGTCATACGCCACAGAATTTTACTTTATATTTTCAACTGATCGATAGCGATACCTTTTTATTTCGGTGAGGTCTTTATTCCAATAAAGCTCTTTATTACGAAAGAATGACAACTTTTATAGTTTAGTGGTCCACATAGTTCGTCATTTCACACTACGCCTCGAAGTAACTTTCTTGTAATGTAACGGCCAAACTGATGTAACAAAATGTAAAATAGTGTTTTAAATGATGTCCTCTGCTGTATAAGATTAATGCCGAACGGACAATTGTATCTTAGTTGATTGAAAAAGTATGTTTTGCTTTCTGATACATTTAAAAAACCAAAGGTAAGCCAGGTTTTATTAAAATGCAGATCACTATTCGTAGGGTTTGGCTACACGTCCTCTCCATTAACGAGCACGGTACACATCAGGGCAAGGCCCGGCCGGCTGCCTGAAACAAAGACAGAGCGGAGGTAGTAATGCGCTGTGCTGGGATCGGAACTTACCCGGACGGGAGGGAAAAACGTCCAGTTAAGAATTATTCCCACCCGGCATCTCTTTCAAAAACCCATGTACTCTAACACATCCTCATAAGGCTACGAAGATACAAAGATCCAAATTAAATAAAGCTACACACACTTTCCAGGAACACACTACTCTGATACCAGCAGTGTCAAATTGTTTAGACTATAATCTCAAACTTCCGGATGACCCCTTCATAATAAAACTATAAGTGATGCGTTTCATTGGTTATCTTTTTTATTTGAAATAAAAGGTAGAAGAAATACAAATACACCAGATGGAGATTAATAAACGCACAACTATTTTAGTTATTAGTACAAGGTAAGACTATTGTTAAATTCAGTCATGATATGTTTTCAGCTGTTGCATGTACAGTGTCAAAGCTTCAGTAAAACTAAACCAAGCCGACCAACCCGGGATAATAATTTATAGGCTACTCACTTGTCCCTTTTCTTGGTTTGACATAATTACTGGGCATTGCTTTCACCTGTGTGCTGTCTCACTCTGGCTTGACAAACCGAGCAGCAGTTGTCAGTCAGTTGTGAAACTGAAAGGAATTATGGGAGCTAAATGGTAGACCCCGTAGAAACTGTACATGTTTTATTCTCAAATAAAACTGCTGTCATTTTCTTATATAATATTAAAAACTTAACTAAGATCCTACTTTTAAAAGAATATAAGATATGGGAAACTGGTTGTGATCTATGACATAAATAGATTAAGATATAAAGACCTGAGTGGAATTTCACATTTTTAAATCCTAAGTGAGGAATAAAAAAAAAGGAGGAATAAAGGAAGGTGATATGAAGGAAGCAAGGAAGGAAGGAAGGAAGGAAGGAAGGAAGGAAGGAAGGAAGGAAGGAAGGAAGGAAGGAAGGAAGGAAGGAAGGAAGGAAGGAAGGAAGGAAGGAAGGAAGGAAGGAGGTGTAGGTGAACGGAAGGAGGAAAGAATAAAATGAGGTAGAAGGAAGGAAGGAATGAAGGAAGTAGAAATAGAGAATGTGTAAGCCCCTTGTGCCAGTCAAATAAATACAAAACATTATAACTATTATATAATCATACTATATGTATAATGATTTTATTTTATTTTATATATGTTTGGGAATTACAGATGTTTATTTGTAAACACATATGTGTTCCATTGTGGTACCAATTGCTGCCCTGGTAAATTACTTAATATTGTTCTTCAGATATTATTCATTTAAAATTCAGAAAAAAATCAAAACAGATCAGTAAGTTAGTTGTTATAGTGTGAACTGTTTTCACATGTTTTACATATTCTGCATTCTGAAAGAGTAGATGATTTCAACTGAGCTGCATTCCTCATCTCACTCAGTTTGCCTCAAATTGGTGAGCCTCAAAAAATCATTGAAACCAAACTGTTTGGCTTTGGGAGCTCTTCTTCTGTATAAGAGGAGAAATACATCAAATACTTTTTAATAATTCTGGGTGATTTACTGTAAATTTGCACAAACAGATATGCATGTGCCATAGGCTACAGAGAGTTACAGTAAAACTCCAGAATCTATTTTACAGGGACAAAGACAAGTGGTGTCAAGTCAAATTTCACCAGCTTTTGTCTGCTGTAGATAAAAGTTTGATATGTAAGGTTTCAATGCAATATGTAACACCCACAGTGACCCAAGAACATTACTGGGAGGCATCAGTCAAAACAATTCCTGGACTTCGAGTCGTGGCTGAACCTGTCACTGCGGTCCTGCCTGACTCTCATCATACTACTTCCCTGATGGCTCCCACAGGATTATGGACATCCTCGTGGATTCATCTTCTTATTATAGACACATGCATTTCCAAACATTTGGTCTACCTATACTGTGAAATGTATTATCTCTTCGATTTACACACGGCATCTATTGCACGTCCTGGGAGAGGGATCCCTTCTCTGTTGCTCTCCCTGAGGTTTGTCCCATGTTCCCCTTTAAACTGTGGGGTTTCTCTGGAAGTTTCTCCTTGTACGTTGTGAGGGTCTAAGGACAGAGGGTGTCGTATTGTCATACTGATATTCTGTACAAACTGTGAAGTCCACTGAGACTAATGTAACATTTGTGATATAGGGCTATATAAATAAACATTGATTGATTGATTGATTGAAAAGTAACCTAACCCTAACATTTTAAAGTTGGTACAACAATGAGAAAAGGTCTCATAAGTACAGGAATTAAACACCTGAAGGACATAGAAAACTGACTGTTTACCAGCTCTATGAGTTCAGATGGCGTTCTTAAAGTTGAAGAATATACCCCATTGTTTTTCTATCGGGTGCCCCACTTAAATGTTTATGGGACCAAAAGTATCTCCTGTGGACCAGAAAGAGGGCTTCCATTGACCTCAATTTTCAGCACAGTTTATGACCCCTGATGTTTTTTGAAAGCTTGTCTGCCCCGAAGATCAGTTTACTATTGATATTTAAAAAGCCAGAGGTCTAAGGTTAAAACGATAAATCATTAAATCTGAGTGCTGTCCAACTCATTTTGTTTTGTTATCATCACATTTCTGTATGGTCAGCAATTGAATGGAAAACTGGATTATCATATCTTAAATTGTGTTATATTTGTTCAGTGTTGAAAAAGTAATACAAAAAATTCAGAACACAACAAAAAGGGTGCAAAAATATTTATTGCTAATAAACCTGTAGTCAGATGGTGTATATTTGCTTTATATTTACAATAATAGAGTACAAAGGAATGGGCATGTGAAAGAAAAATCCCAACCGTTCAAATAAATACAAAAGGGACTGCCACTGAACACGACTACAAACAACTCCCATACAGCTGGACCGATGATTGCAGTTGGAGAAAGAAAAAAATCTATATAAATGTTCATATATATATATATTTAAATTAGAGTCAGTGAATCCCGTCCGAATGCATTAAGCTGTCGCATTTCAACGGGTGTCTCAGATTGATTGACGCCAGACTCATTCCTATGCTTTTAATATGCACTACACCTTATGCAGTTGTGTTTAGCCTTTAAACATCACATTTATGCCTTTGGCAAGCAATAGTCTAGGGAGTTAAAACAGTAGCTTACACACTCATAGTTTTAGTGTATGCATGACAATTAAAAACTGTATTTACAGTAAGACATGGCAGCAAAAAAATAAACGATACAAAAAAATGTCACAGTTAACTGAAGTGCATGGAATGCAAAATCTAGACATGAAATTCAAACTTCATACCATGTTTTTAATAATAATATATGATCTGTGTTGTGTGACCAGTGTGTAGTGTAACTAAATAAGTAATTACAGAGCTAAACTATAGTGGACTTCTAAACATGCAGCAAGGTAAGAAGACGTGATGCGTCACTGTCAGAACTCCTTCGCGTCTTTGTTTTCAAACAGGTGGAGTCTCTGCTCGGCTGTCAGCCCTTCCCTCAGACTCTGGGGGGGGGGGGAGAGAGAGAAAGCACACGTTAATAAAGAACATGACTTCCTACGTACAGACATGCTGTTCTTGAGCAGGCAGTGTTTCCCTTTGTCAGTGTGAATCTGTTGTCACCCAGTGATTACATCTGTATAACGGAATCATACGAGCCCAATCACCACATTAGTTGTTTGTAAACTCTTCTCCACCCAGTGTGCTATGGAACCCCCAACACTCTTGTAACCAAAGCTCATTTAGTCTAGCTACCAAGCTAACAATCAAAAGTTCACAGACGTTATTTGTATATTCTCATAACATGAGCTCCTATCAGCTATTAGCGAGCTTCGCCTGTACCTTGGCCATTAAATACTAATTAAAAAGATTGTTAAATTAGTTTGGCACATTTGAACTAATGCACTAGCACCAGAAGCAAATATAAATGTACTGTTTTCATTGTTCCTAGTTTGTATCTTTATGCTTTATTGCACTTATTGTAAGCCACTTAGGATAAAAGCATCAGCTAAATTAAATGATATGTAATGTAGCTGCGGCATTACCTTCTAAAATATTTTGGATACATTTATGCAAAGATGGAAGAAGTACTGCATTCAAACTTGTACTTAATTAAAAGTGCAAATGTATTGGCATCAAAATAATAATTGTGATGCATTAATGTGTTCATCACTTCAATGCTGCACTTGTTAAATGTGGGGTTTCGTTGGACTTCCTGTTATACTACTGGTGTAGCTTTACCTACAATAATATATGATGATGTATTAGTGTATAAATAATCTACATCCTTAAAGTAGTTAGTAACTACATCTGTAAAACAAAAGGTAGTGGAGTAAAAGTATAAAGGGTATATATTCAAGTAAAGTAAAAGTACCTATATGTTTTACTTAAGTACATTCCTTGAGTAAATGTACTTAAGTGACTTTGCCAGTTTTATTCTGTCAACGAGCAAGACACACTGAAGGAAGTTAGATTGAGGCCACTTTGAGGAAGAATGGTGTCTGTGTGCATGTCTTTGACTTTATCGTGTTGTTTAATGTTTCCTTATTTAGAATATAAAATCAGACTAAAGCTACGTAGCATTTGACCTATTTGCTAATCACTTTTTGCTGGTCTTTGTTGGTTTTGGGGCTCCATAGTAAGCAACTCATTCACAAAACATATCACCACTAATGTGAAACGACAGACAGATTAGTAATCTCATCCATTATCATTCGTTCTTCACCATCACATGTCTATCTGATTTTTGTTCAATAGTGTGAAGAAGAAGAAGTGCTTTAGAGGCGGAGGACAGAGGAAGTGTTTTCACCGCCTGTTTGTGCGTCTGGTTTACCTAAAGGAGAAGGGGGAGGAGCCTACACGTCCTCTGCAGCCCTAACTGTCCCAGGGCATGTCTCGATTCACAGACTGAGGACAGAAGGGGGAAAACACACCAGCAAGTGTGTGTTAGACTACCAAGGGGTTCACTTTGTAGCTGCACTTTTGATGGAGTCACAAAAAAAGAAATAACAGCAACTTTGCAGGTGACCAGTAGATGGCAGTAGGTGATTTAAAATCTCAGCCTGTGATTGGTGGGAGACTTTAAAATGTCAAAACAGGACTTTTTCTGTCAGTTTTGAATGTATTGCTGCTTGAGCAATATGACAATGGGTGATGCAGACCCATGAATATCCAGCATTAACACCACAGAGGGCTGAAGGACTGATTTGCTAGTTTGCAGGAAACCCACCTTTGACCTCAGTGTGCGCTCTGAGCGTTTGGCTGCAGCAGCCGCCATCTTCAGGATGTCAGGGTTGCTTTTGGACTTCATGATATCTACTGGGGAAATAGTATCAGAGTTGAAATAAAGAGAACCAGTGGATAAAGGGTTGACACACAATTGTTCTCATGAAAGAACCCTCACATTCATTCTTATTTAGCATGTTTAAGTGATTTTAGCCATCTTGTAAATGTACCACCTATCTCTAGCTAAATTAATGAATGCCATACCAGATGTCTTCAGAAAGCCTTCCCTTCACAACAAGGGGGAAATAACTGTGACTTCAATTATTACTATCCAAAAAATAAAAATAAAATTAAGCCCAAAATGAAGATACTAAAATAAAAAACTAAAATAAAGATGAAAATACTCTGTTCATTAAAAAAATACATTTTTTATTGGTATTTTTGGCCTCAGGGTAATTATGAAGGAAACTATCCTTAAAGGTGGGGTAGGTAAGTTTGAGAAACCAGCTCGAGATCGCTAGAATTTGAAAATACACAACCGGAGAAAATGTGCCACTTCCTTATAGAGCCCCTCCTCCAACACACACGAACGCGCACATGACCAATGAGGGCACGAGATAAGTTTGTGCACAGATGGAAGGCTGACAGGCAGGTAGGCCATCCAATCATTTTAGCCGGGCCGGCTAAAATGATTGGTCGTGCTTTTTACAGTACTACGGCTTCCACAGATGATATATTTTTATGGATTTTTTGTCAAAGCACTTAAGATATTCATTGCTATCGGGATGTTAAGAGCATTCCATGGAATATAACAAAAAGTGTATCTCGAGCCGGTTTCTCAAACTTACCTACCCCACCTTTAACATCCCTACTGCCTTATTTTCTCGACAGCCTCACATCTCCCCTAGTTGGCTCATTGTTTTTAAAACATTTTTTTTTTCAAGAAACTTTCTTTATTTCTGTCCCAGTATACTGCTTCTGAGATTGTATATTAGTTAATGGTCCCTTAACAGAACAACTAACGCTGCTTGATTTGGACCTGAAGCTCTGTGGTGATATATTTAGATTTCACTTTGATGCCACATCAAACCCACAAATGGATTTGAACAGGCAGCCTTAAATATGCTCGTCAAATCTCCCAAACATGCACCTCCTTATTATTTCATTTAGAGAGTTTGATAAATCTGACTTTGACCACTTGTTCAAGCAGGTGTCACAGAGACACAGAGCCTTAAATTGTTCTTTCCTTTTGTCCGTACCGTATCCCCCCCGCTCCACCTCTTCCAGCGACGCCTCCCCCAGCGCCTGGTGGGCGAGCTGCAGCTGGTCTCTGAGCCGGCCCAGGTCCCGCTCGGCTTTGGCCTTCACGATGCTCAGCTCCGTGTAGATGTCCTTGTACTTATCTGTTGCATATTTCTTGTCCTGAAAAACACAATGTTCGGCATTTCAGAGAAAGGCTAATCAAGTTGCCTGTCAGCGAGGAATTCATGGAAGTCCCCGGTAAAAAGGAATGATAACAGATAAAACAGCGTACTCTTTGGGCAGATTGGAGCTCGTCTTTCAGGGAGTTGATTTCCTGCTTCAAGTACTGGACCTCAGACTCCTTCACCCTCAGCATCACCTGGAAACAAAGATGAACAGAAAAAGATAAACAGACAATGACTGATATAGAATCTGATATCATTGAGGTTCAGATACTGTGTCTCACAAAATGGTATTACTCTGCAATGATTCTTCTCTTTATCTTAGTCTAATGAAACCCTCAGAAAAGCTTTACCTTGGCTTAACTGGAGCCAAACAAATCCCTATCACCTTATTTCTTACAAAGGCAAAATGTTATGTAAAAAGGTGTGTGAATAGACTTATACGATTACAACAAACAAAACCTATCATTTGTGTTGAGCAGCAAGAGGAGTGGGATGGGGAGGGGCAGATTTGGAGTTGAATTGTTCTATATATACATTTGCATCATTTATATTTGTATCTTTGTGTCATTTTGTGAAGATGGCCTGTAAAATGTATCACGACATTGGTCACGAAAGTAAGAGAAAATGTAAAGTAGGCTACAAGACTTTGCAATATCCTGCCTAAGGAGCACTATTACAAACATCCCTGGCACAGATGTATTGTTATATGTTGTGATATTCGCCTTACTTCTAACTCGTAGAGCTCTTTCCCCTGTATTGTGATGTTTGAGTCTCCTACTCCATCCTCAGACGTCATGGAGCGCATCTTAGTGATCTCTGCTGCGAGGCGGTTGTTCAGCTCCTAAAAACGGGCACGAAGAAGAAGCTTAGAACATTTGAAAGGAGAGCTGTTGTGCTTTCTTTTGCACTCAAAACAGTGAATGTGTGAGAGTGTGTGTGTGTGTGTGTGTGTGTGTGTGTGTGTGTGTGTGTGTGTGTGTGTGTGTGTGTGTGTGTGTGTACCTGGTTGTGTGCGTTGAGCTCCTGGTTCTCCCTCTGACACTGCCGCAGGGCCTGCCTCTCGGCCTCCAGAGCCTGGGCCAGGTGAGCGTTCTCCAGGCACTTCTGGGAATACTGCTCTGACAACACCTCTATCTCCCGCTGGAAGGAACACAGCTCCTCCCTGAAACACAACACAGGAGCACCCTGAGAGAACATCCAATACCACCAGCTTGGGTTCAGGGGGAAATAATGCAAATACAGCTCCAGGTTCAGGTTTAGTACAGGACTTATTACGCAGAATGGCCATTACAGAATATTGTATCACTGGATTCTAACCATTGACCCAATATTGCATAATTTTACTTTGGCAACTGGTACTAACTTTTAATAACTTCTTATACTATAATGTCATAATTCCTTAGTTGATCAAAATGTCTGGGGGCCTTTCTTTGCCCATGCAAAGAGGATGACCTTCCCGGATATTCCAGAATAAGACCCTAACCCTTTTTTACATATCCTTAACTCATTTGTTTATTCTGACCTGAAGAGAATGAGGTTATTGTGCGTTTGCTTTTTTGTTTGTTGGTGTATGGCCAAGTCGACTGTTTGTGTTGATGTTGTAATGTATTGTTTGTTATGATCTTCACTTTTATAAAATAATGATTCCTTAGTTGATTAAATGTTTTCATTAACAACATGAATGTGCAAAGTAACTAGTAACTAAAGTTGCCAAATAAATGATAAAATAAAGAGAACTGGATACAGCATTCCTATGAACGTTCTCAGTGGCGAAGTGACAATGATTTAATGATTTAAATAAGCGTAAAAAGTGTTTCTACTGGAGAGCTATTTAGCTAAAAATAGTATACGCTGCATCTCTTTTCCAATAAAAAGTATTATTTGGGCCTGAATGACGTCACAGTCTGACAGAGTAGCTGCTCGCTTCCTGGGGGCTATTTCAAAGTGGTGCCACAGCTTTGGGATCATAAAATAACAGACTTAGAGAACTCGCTCAGTTTAATAAAAGTCTGATTGATTTACTGTCAGCATCAACGCTCTCACACGTGTCACCAAGTTCAGTGTTGCAGCACGCTGAAGACCGGCAGGTGTGCCTGAACGCAGAGTTTCTTAACACATGTCCCAGCAAGTCATGAGCGACAGCTGCACAATCTGATCCTGTATCAGTACTCAGATCAGATGGAACATTCTTTAATGAAGCAGTCAGATCAGTCAAAAGAGTCTAAAAAGCTCAATTGCTGTTGGGAGTACAGACTGACATACAGAATTATTAACAGCATAAATAAATCATTTGAGTTTCAAAAAAAATAATTAGTTCAACTTCATTTTGTTTTAAAATGTTGGTAAAGTGTTGGGGATTTTAGCCTTTGCAGACCATTTACATGCACCAAAACCTATATAACACACTAGTGGGAAGGGAAAACCCCAAAGAGCAGAATAGGGCCTTTTTCATTTGCCAAAAGAAAGCTAAACAAATGAGCAGAATGACTGATTACACAGTAAAGTGTAGGCTTATGTTGCCTTCATGTAACATGGGATGCTTGTCATAATCCAACTCGTAACTAACTTGGTTAATAACGTAACTGTCAAACTATGACCGGGATACTTCTGAATTGACTGATATATTCAACTTGACGCTTAGAGAAGTCACTTTAACCAAGCGGCATCTGATTGAACTAAATATGTTTGCATTTTGAGTCCTACTGCTGATTAAGGATAGTACTTGTGTCGTCATGCTTTTCTCATTGTAATCCTACACTACTCTTCATGTCATTAAATAAACAGACTAAGACACTCAAGGTCCTTGATCAACACCAAACCATACGGCATATAAACTACGAACAACTTACTCATGCTGCCTGCGGATCTCCTCGATGTCTGCGTTTTCTGTGTTGCTGTTTGCCTTGCGAGCCTTGTCCAGCTCCTTCTCCAGCTCTGACCGGTGGGCGTTTTTCATTGCTTCGATTGCTAAAGTAACAGAAAAGAATGCTTTAATAAGTACGTACAAGTTTAATAGTTTACTGTAGTAGTAGTAGTACAAGCAAATAAGAAAATACATTTTGTATGAAATTAGGGGTAAATGACAGCATCTCTGTGCTTCTTCTGTGAGGTGATTTGATTTACCGGCGATGGTGGCTGCCGTCTCCTCTTCAAGCAGTCGCTCCTTCTCCGCATGCAGGTTCTCCAGCTCTCTGTGGTTCTTCTTCTGCAGCTCATCGATCACCTTCTGATGAGAATCCTCCATGGCAGCAAAGCCCCTCTCACAGGTGGCCTATGGGACGGGAAATACGATGCAACTATGAGTTGTCGACCCATCTGGACAGAGACCAAGGTTCTCCTGCCCCCATAAGCAGAGAAGGCAGGAACACTTTGCTCTACAATATAAGCCATCTCCATCGTCATTTCTTCCCCCTGGCATAGACCTTGCAAGCTACAGCCTGTTAGCCACGAGCAAGTTGAGCCTGTGTGAGTATAAAATGGGTTAAGATGAGGAATGACAGGATAAACAATACACTGAAGGAATAAAAAGACACAGAGAGGAGGCGGGTGTGAAAAAGTATATGCTACCATTTCCTATTCAAAGCCAAACATCCACTGATGATGCCTTTAAACCCTTATTTACACTGAGCTGAGTAATGCGGGTTTTTTTTTTTTTTTTAACCTTAAATGTTTTAGTTATTTTGCTGGTGTTACAACTTAGTTACACATTCATAAGCTGTGTGTGTGATTATGTAATGTTTTACTGTGTTCAGAAAAGAATGTAACAAAATGTTCATTTGGTGTCCTTGCAGCTTGTTCCGACACACATTTCAAATCATTACCTGTCATTACCTGTCACTGCCTATGGGAAAACTATTTTGTATGGACTATAAGGTTAAGGTGATCAATCATGAATATCTGGCCATCTGAAACACTGCAGTTGAATGTTTTTCAGGTTATGGCATTTTTGTCGTACATTGGAGAAAAGGGAAAGAGGAGGATAATCCTCATCAACACGTGTTTAGAAAAAGCCATTACACTGCTATTATGACTACAGTGCAAGTTTCCACAAGAAGGGATTTCAATGGCCTTTCCACTAGCACAACTAAAGACCTCGTCCTGCATCCGGCCTCTATTCACTGCCACTAATCTGAGGACTCAGTCCATGGCTGGGCCCTGTCTCTGCCTCAGTGTAACTCCAGCCCGACAGGGGAAATGGAGGTTCAGTGTGTTTTCACAGGGATAAAACCCCCTGAGAGCACAGACCCAATGCAAGGCTGAAACATCTCCCCCACAGAGCAAATGTAAACTTCCGGCTCTGACATCAGACCACGCACAAGCTTTATTTAGAAGCATGTCAGGCTCCGTGTCTCGTGTGTAAATATATCCTGGGTCATGGCAGGATCATGCACTCCCGACTGAGACAGGGCAGAATATTTGATTAACGAAGACATAAGATTATTATGTGACCATCGAATATGCTGTTTAACTCTCCGTCATTACAAGTTAAACGCATCAAACCTTTCAAATTAATGATCTTTAAAACACCACTGTCTCTCGACCAAACTTCCAATTAGACTCCAGTGTTTTAAGTTAATTATTATTGTATCTAAACTTTGATTTGTTGTAAATAAAATAAAAACAATTTGTTTTTTGTGACCCGTTTTCACATAATTATGTCTTTGGTAGGAACCAATGGGGTTGAGGCAGAGACAGTCCTAGAAAGTAGAGAAACGTACCCACTGGAGGACTAACGCTTAATTTCGTTGGGTCCTGTGTACCATAAAAAAATGCAAATGAAGCTCAATTTGACCACGCCTTAAAGAGTTGGTTCTAATAAAGAAAACACTCTTCCCTATAAATTCCACCCGTGTTTAGCCATGGAGATTGAGTTTTAGATTGATTTGCTAAAGTTTTGAGCTGGAATAGTTTGAACTACCCTAATAAAATGGAAGCAAATCTCATCAGAGATGCATAAAACATTAACATATTACATTAAACAACTTCACCAGCGAAAGTTACTCAAACTATTTTGCCATGATCAGTATCCGAGGAACAATGTTGTTGTTCCTCATGGATGGTCAAGGGTGCTCATGGATGGTCAAGGGTGCTGTTAGGTGTCAATACACTGTGAATGTTTATGGAGAAAGACCTTTCTATTGAACTTTTGGTGGGTGCTTTGAGCACCAAAAACCAAAATATTATCACCTCTTTCACATGAAACCAAAACCATTTGGCCAAAAGCCATTTGGAGTACATGAGAAAATGGGTATTTCAGTTAGTTGGGCGCACTGAGCCTTATTTTTACAAGAAGCAACAAAGCTTTTAGACTTGTATTTTAACTAAATAGAGTCAAGGTCTACTTAGTAGCTTCATTCATGGCTTTCAACCACATGTCACTACCTTTACCAGCAAATTAAGTTGTTGGCTTAGTTATCGAGGAGTTGTACCATATAAGATCCATACTAGGTCATGTCATCATAACTGAGTTAACTGAAGTTGCTGCTGGCCGTGAGATGCATTTGAAAGCCCAAGAAAAATCTTGTGAGAAGACATTCGGTTAAAATTGTAAGGGTTAGGGTAACTATTGTTCTGAGAAAGTAGGGATACAATTAAACTGTGAAAGGCAAAGAATTCAGACCCATACAAATGTAGTTTTTGGCCGAAAAAAATAATAAAAATAACTTCAAAAATGGTAAAGTCTTTGCCCTTAACCGTTTGTGGCATAGCTAAGTCAGTCGGTTAAATGAATAAGCACATTGAACTAAGACCAGAGGAACTCATTTCAGAGTAGAAGAGGCTGATATGATAGGATGCTTTAGTGTAGAATAATGTAATATCTTCTGTTGATTTTGTTTTACATTGTTTTACATTGCCAATTGTGTTTGTTGACTTGTGAAGCCCTCTGAGACTAATATGATTTGTGATTTTGGGCTGTATAAATAAACTTGAATTGAATTGAATTTCTTTGGGCCAATCTAATGTTCCAGAAAAGTTCTAAAACTGATGAAACTTCAACAAAATGGGTTCCTCAGTCCACGACTGCTGAAGCGCCAATGATCACATAAACCTAAAGGGGGTTAGTTCATGCAACACAGAAGAAAAGTGGTTTACAGAACAAAGAGCAAGAGTAGTGGGAGCAGGGTTAGGATTGGGGGTGGAAGTTGGGAAAGGAAGGGAATCTGGGAATGCCACAAAGGAACACAAGGCATCACAGATGCAGTACGGCAAGGAGTGCTTCCACCTTCAGGTTTTCCAGGTCTTTCTCGTATTTCAGTCGTAGAGTCGTATTGTCTCCCTGCTCTTCCCGGCGTCTCATCTCTTGGGTCATGACCGAGACCTGGGTGACCAGCTCTCGGATTCGCTCTTTCAGGGTCGATGTGTGGGCTGAGGCGAGATGCGGCGGTCTGTCGGTATCCGCTGAGTTCTTGTCTTGGTTTGACGGACTCATCATGCTCCTCAGCTCTTCCATTTCCCGGTCAAACCTCTCCATGAGGTTCGTCCTCTCCATCTCGTGCTTCTCCTTCAGACTCTCCATGCAGTTTGTCAGGGAGTTGATCTCCTTCACATTTTCTTCTGAGCGAATACGCAGCATCTCGTCGGCCTTAGCTATTTTATGCCTCAACATTTCAGCTTCCTTCTCATAGCTGTCTTTGACCTCTTGTAGTTCCTTCCTGGCATGAAGCTCATTGGATTGGTGCAATGAGTCTGTGGGCTCTCCTTCCATCTGGATGAAAGTGTGTTGCCCTGTGGCAAGTTGACTCTGGATAAATGCCAGTTTCAACTCAAGGTTTTTGGTGGCTTCTTTCAATTGATGACAATTTGGACAATCCAAGCTACCATTCTCAACTTCGGTCTGGTTTTGCTTTAGTTCTTGTTTATGTTGGACTTTCAGCCTAGTGATCACATAAGACATGTAGGCTTCTTTTAGGGCATCAAACAGATGATCCGAGGACGGTTTCTGTTCTTGAACAAAGCTTGTTATAGCCAAAGACAAAATCTGGTCGTCTTTGGCCAATTTCACACTGGATACAATCTGTTTCAGAACACTTGACTTTTCCTCCAAGGTGTCTTTTAACTCTTTTTTAATCAGAGCATTTGTTTCATTATTAAGCCATTTGTACATGGATGCAAAATCTGGCTCTGTCACTACCTCACTTTCATCTTTTTCTTGTGGACAAATCCTCCTAATCAAGAGCATCAAGCGCTTCTGTGCCAACATCTGTCGTGCCAAACCTCTATCAAAGCTGCGTCTGTCTTCTTCTGGTTTGATTATGGATGACCCCAACAGCTGGCTCCAGAACTCTCCCTCTATTAACAACCTCATGTCTTTCTGACTCACACAGGGTTCTTCTTCTTTTGAACAACTAAATAAAGTGCTTTTTAAATCATTGAGTGTGTTCTCTACATCAACATCTACCTTTGCTAACATCTCTAAAACCTGATCAATCGCCTCAGACTTCCTCTCAATCTCTTCTACCACTTGCTTTAACAGTCCTTTATTATCGACTTGCGTTTTTCCTGCTTCGACACATTCGCTTATTGTCTTTTCAACTCTACCCGTCTTCAATTCTAACTTCTCTCTTAGCATAGTTATTTGGTTTTCTGCTTCTCTTAGCATCTCTCTATTGAGTTTCTCAGATTCCTGGTTCAATGTCATTAGTTCTCTGTTCCTGGCTTCAAGTTCCAAACAGCGCTTTTCTTTAGAATGAAGGTTTGCCTCCATCTCAAATAGCTTTGCTTGCGAGGATTCAAGTAGTTCTTCCTCTGGATGTAACTCCTCCTCCTCCTCATAATCTGGGTTAAAACCAAGACCTTTTAGCGTTGCCTCTTTCAACTGGAGCTTCTTCTCAGTTTCTTTTAGGGTGTTGCCGAGCTCCTCCATCGTAATCAGAGCTTCATGAAGCCTCAAGGACTTCTCATTCAGCTCCCTCTCGTAAAACTCCCTGTCTATAGAGTTTGCCTGGTTTTCAGCCAGTTCTGCTTTTAGTATTTTTAGCTCTTCCATGACCAGGTGATGCTGTTTACCGCCTTGCTGGCTGATCAGCTCAACTTTAAGTCTGTCTATTTCTCTGTCAGCCTCTGTCAGTTGGTTCACGATCTCCTGACACCGTTGTTTCAATGCCCCATTTTCACTAGTTAAAAGTTCAACCTTCTGGGAGAGCATCCCTTTGTCCATCTCAATTGTCTCTGAATGGTTTTCAATTTCTGAGAGGGGTCCATAGGGACTTTTTAGGGTTCCTAGACTTTTCTTTTGAACCCTTCCGACCAAATCCTCAATGGTTAGAAGACGGGCTTCGTACTCAAGGATGCTTTCTCCTGCTCTGGCTAAACTTTTTTTTAACGTTTCATTTTCTATCTCCTGTTGGTACTTCCAGGTCTCCAAGAGCTTCTGAAGTTGTTTTTTCTCCGCTGTCTCTTGATAACAACTATGGAATCTCAATAATTCTGCCAACTCCTTTAGGGACAGAGGTCTACCGGCAATCATGTCTTCTAGTTCTTGAATTGCCTCATCACTGTCCTGAAGCAAGAAGCTAACTGTTTTTTCGACAAGTTCAGGGGGTGGGCCTTCCGGTATAGACAGATTTGGAAGTTCAGAAAAGTACGGATCCTTGATGGGAGAGTGAGAAAGCGAAAGGCCAAGCTGTGCCTGCATATTGCGTTTTTTCAGCTCCTGCAGCTTCAGGAGCTCTTTGGTCTCCTGGTACTTCTTTGTTAAACTCTGTGCTTGAGAACTAACCAGTTCGGGCCTCTTCGTCTGGGGCGTCACATCAGCCTCCAGACCCAAAGGGTGCTCCAGCTTGGAAAAGGGGACCAGACAGTTGGTTAACACACAGCAGGGGAGACACAAAGCTTGCTCATCATTTTCAGTGTTAACTACCAATTATTTCAAAAAGTGACATTACAAAAAGATTTCCCACATGACCCCAAATTACGTAAATGAAAGGTGATTCAAAACAAACAAACAAACAAACAAACAAACAAACAAATAATTCCCTTAGGTTTGAATGGTGTAAATTAAAAGCAAAAGAAAGAGATTAAATTGGCAGGGTTAGTTCATCAGAACAGAGCATGCACATTAAATGGTGAAAAGTTATTTCAATGGGGAAAGTAAAGCAATATTAGTTTCAGCTAGATGGTTTACCCAAGGATGGATGGAATACCAGGTCCTACAGACACATTTCTGAGATGTTCTGGTCCAAGCTCATGTCTTGCACCAAAGCATTTGTTCTGAGTGGAGATAGTGAATAGTTATAGCCGACTTAAATCTAATGTCCAAATATGTTTTCAAACTCACTCCATTGTTCATTGAAAGTAATTTGTGTGTTACATTTCAAGACAAAAATTGCATACACTTAACTCAAACTTAATCAACTATAAAATAATCCTTCAGCCTTTAACCCATTTATACATTGGCACAAAAGCACAGAAGTTCCTCAAACATCACACGTTTATGCCATTACATAGCTTCAGTATAATATTTGTTGACAGAACAACAAATGGCAGGTCTGGAGAGCAGTTAAGAGAAGATGAGAATCTGACGTCCATGCAAATAATTAGAATACAAGCCAAAGAGTTATTCATACATGTTTAGCAGAACATTTGAGCAAGTAGAGCTACTCTTTGTATCAGTGACCATAAAGGATAATATCACTCTAACATTTTAAAAACTCATCAACTTTTTGTAGCCAAGTTAAAAAAAATAATTGGGCTATATTTACAGATGACCAAACATGAGTTTGGATCAGACAGCAATTTAAGAAATAATAAATGCAAGATTTTTTTATATTTTAAATGTCATAATTCTATGTTAAGAAGAGGGCATGTTTGTCCCATGACTTAATATATGACAATACGTTTGTTCCAATCAATCTCCTTTATGCACACTTTGAGAAAAACATCAGAAATATATTTCTTTTTTGGAAAGTGAAAAAACCGCCCAATGTTTTAGGTCTCTGCGGAGGTAGAACACCTTGTGTATAGTTAAAAGCAACATGTGATTACGTTTATTGAACAAGTTATATTTGTGATATTGGGTTCTATAAACAGAACTCCATTGATCATCAACAACAACACGTGAATTCCTTGGTCCAAAATCAAAGATATACTGAAGTAACGACTAGCATGAGTTCAGACACAGACCTTTAACACAGAGATAGGAGATTAACTAGTAGAAGCCAATGTAGTTATAAGATCTCAATGGGGTTTTTTATACATGCAATGAACTCATGCAAAGGCACATATCCGTAGCAACTTTGTTGCTCTGATGTCAGTTTTTTTACGTTTTCTTACAAATACAACATGCAAAGAATGTTACAAAATGGAGGAGAAAACACTGCTCAATTGAGAATACACACATTCAATCTAAAACAGGATTTCCCATCATACTGACGCAAAGAGCAATGCAGCTGCACACTGAATACAAAGAGTTTGAACTCACCGGGGAGATGTAACCTGCGCGGATGTCATGCTCTCTATCCAGAGCTGTTCTCAGCTGCAGCTCCAACTCCTGCTTGTGCTTGCTGGAGTCGAGGAGCTGCTGGTGACAGCCCTCCAGCTGAGCCTTCAGCTCCTCTATCTGCGGGAGCAGCAGGAAGAGGCTTTGGATAAACAGTCTCAAGAACCTCTAGCAAGTGAAATTGTATGACGACCACTTTGGCTGAGAAATGTACTCAGCTGTTATTAGTTAGTGTTCATTCTGTGAGATAGCGAAAATATGAAACTGAAATTCTTGGGTGTTTCCTTGTTAATATTCTCTCTGCATGTTGGCGTTTGTGTATTTGGAAAAATATGTTTTTTATAAAAATGACATGAAATCGTTTTATGTTAATGAAACACAAACAGAGGCACGTTTGCCACATTTATAATCTAGGTGATCCCTACACATGCAGTTTAGACAAGATGCTAGTAGTTAGCTTGGTAAATGTTGAGTGTGAATGACAGATAGCAGACAGGTAGGCAGTTACATGACCTATTAAACTATTTAAGAAAACTAGAACCAACCTAATGTGCCGCCGTGATGAAAGAAATGTATACCAAATAGTGAGACTCGATTTGATTTGATTTAATGAACTGCTTATTGTTTTCCTGATTGGCAACCTGCTATGTGTGCATTTAATAGAGTTGATATTAAAAGAATAAACTAAACGTACCCCTTGCTTGTAATTCTCCAGCAGTTGCTCCAGCTCAGTAGTATCTCTGGATTGCACTGGGGGGGGCAGAGTCACCCTCCTCTCCTCCCTCATGGGTGTCTTCTCCACCTGTTGCCAGTGTTGTTCAATCACCTCCTCCACCATCTGCTGCCTCTCCAAAGACACAGGACCTAAAGGATCTGTTTGTCCAACTCTCTCTGCACTCTCACAGTCAGTCCTCCCTCCAGCTTTAACAAGTGTCTGCTCCGGCGCTGAGTTAGTCACAGAGTCATAACGCTTCCGCCTCTCCTCTTTCCTACGACTGCGCTCCAGCTCCAGGTCAGCATGGAGGCTCTCTGCCTCTTGCGCCCGCTGCTGAGCCAGAGCCTGAGCGATGGGTCTGAACTCAGCCCAGTCGAAAGTCTTAGAGCGGCCTTCTCTTCTGCGTTCACGTGCCCGGCTCTTTATGACACCTGCCGTGGATTCTCTCTCTGTGGACGCCTCAGAGGAGGGGGTTACATCTGGCCTAACCAGACCCTCCAGAGGAGAGAAGGAGCCATGATCCTCAGTAGAACTGAAAGGCAGAGGTAAACAAAAAGAAGCTTTTTAGCTTAAAAATGTGCTCATTGTCCCAAAATGTGCGCAATCTGCTGCCATTCTGGCCTGGGCTAGGGTCTACTGCTAGCTCCTTTTTCCAATCAACTATCATCACCTTGTTCAATTCTTCTGGAGAAAATGGTTATATAATGTGTGCAGTATTGGTTGTACTGACCTTGCCACATCAGGGGCGGTGGATGGTCGGACGTTCTTCATCACTGCTTGGATCCAGTTCCTGCGTATCCCTGCTGTCATGGCCGACAGCGTTTGCACTCCCTCCTTGGTCTGAACATTCAAAATGAAAATTACATAATAATTAAATAATCAAAAGGTATTAAAAGAATAAAATAGGGATACAAAAAAAAACTTAATAGAAATAAAATGATAGGAAAATTAAACATTATTGCAACAATGACATCACAACAGTGTAAAAATGTTTCCGTGTACACAGATTGATACTGAAAGTAAAAAAATAATTTGACGTCATGGCTGTGGTATTTAGTTATTATTATACCATGGCTACGAACCAATCAGATTACTTATGAGCAACCAGTTTTATTAAGCGATAGCTCAAGACAGGCCGAGTTAAAAAATGAATAGTCATGGTTAAAACATTTCTTACATGTATTTGGAATCCATAGTTGCGTTGAGCCTGGTATTCAGTGACATTGTAGCAAGTGGACAGGTCGATCTCCCCATCCAGGTCCGAGGCCTGAGTAACAGAAAGATGATTGTGCAAACATAAATAAGGAACTGCTCACCATAAACATTTACAATAAGTGTTCACTTAAAATAATAAGCATACCTCCTCTGCGATGGAATCCTTGTAGTATCTCAGGCTGTGATCCGTCAAAACAAACCAGTATTTCTTCCACTAAATTGAGAAAAAGAAGACCAAGTTTTGTCATCCATAGATCATGAAAATGTAATAAGATATATAGAAGAAATCCCTAAAACCTGCTCTACGATGGCACAGAGTTCGCCTCTTTCCCTATATGTTATAAAATATTTATTTTGAAGCCTTCAGGCTCCGCCCTGGTCTTTAAGTCCATTGAAGATGCAACATCAAAGTGTAACCACACCTCTGTAAAGACCATAGAATTCTACAGACGTGCAACAGTGCATCAGCTGGACAGTTCAGATGCTGTTTGAGCTGGCTTTTGACCCTCTTTTGGTGACTTGATAAAGAAAATCTAAAATGTTATAATTACTTTCTGCAATTTGTAAATGTCTTGAGAATTTAAAGTTGGAAAAATTCTTTAAATGTAGGTCCCTCTTAATACTTAATCGTACTTGATTTTTTTAACAGATCTACTAAAACATAAAAAATAAAAAATGTTATTAGCCACCTAGGTTATTTTTCTCTCTCATTTTTAATACTATTGATCACAGACAAAGGTAGATTAGGTACCTGGCCTTGCTCATCCAACTTCACCATCCAACCTTTCTTGAAGTTCAGTAAATCCGGCTAGAAAAGAAGAAAAACATTTGAATTTGAGTCTGAATTAGAACAGAAAAACAAAGAAAACATGCAAAATTACCCCAGAACCAATCAAATACAAACCACAACACATTTTTTACATTTGTTTACGTATTCCATTATATTACAATAACTTCAACTAGCATAATACATCAATCTACAGATCCATCCAACAGTGTGAAAACAATTCTTTAATGAAAAAAATCATTTTGTCACTGTAAACACAAGAGCAGCAAAAACACATGCTCACTGAGTCAGCTGAGGGCAGAAGTTGACCCTACCGATGGATCAAAAACACATTTAGAAGATGTGACACTGTCTAAATGTGATCCACTGGCCAGGGCCAACTTCTGCCAGATGTGTCGCTCTGTGCTTCTCCAGCTGAGGATGCAGAACACAGTGCTCAAAACTGTTGTATTCTGCTGTGATTCCACACAAATGAAGACACACACACGTGAATGGCGGCCTCACGAAGCAGTGGTACATTGTGATATACTCTGTCTCACACAAACTGACATACACACACCCTCTCGCTTAACAAATAACACAGAAAATGTGCAATGAATACACGCAGCGGGCAAAATCTGCACACAGTTGGAGCACAGTGAAGAGTATAACCTGGAGAGGAGGGGAGGAGGAGGGGGCCTCCGCAGCATGGAGGTTAGGCCTACATCATCCACAAACATTAGGAAAAACTCAAAATGCTGCTGAACATAGCTGTATGGACCAAAAATGCTTCCACTTCCTGTTTCAGCAAGAGAGTGGTGCAGGGAAAACCCAAAATGAGTTAGCGTTTCAGCACTTCCGGGCAACAATTTGGTAACAAAGATGCCTGAAATAAAGTCTGTGGCTAACATACTCTGATGAGATCTTTAGGTTATATCATATGAAATGCAATAAGTAAGAAATAACCCCGCTGGTGAACGTCTGAAGCTATTACACGTCTTAAATAAGGTGATTACTAGCAAGTGAATAAATGTGTCTAATAAACGTTATCAGATGAACATTCATCTGGTACTTAGTAATATATATCTACTATCTAATATATATCATTCCAATAACTTGTATATAGACTCGTACTGCACTATTCCACTTTATTTTAGAACTATTTTTCTTTTTGTATTACTTTTACTATCTGTATTATTATGTTGCATTGTTGGAGAAGCCTGTGACATAAGATTTTCAACGACATAATTACTCTGTAGCTATGTTAGTTTGACAATAAAGAACCTTGAACCTTGAACCTTGATCATGCCAAACATTAGCCTCCTTTAGCTTAGCGGTGGTGTCGTGAAGTCATGTGACCGCGATGTAGTTCCTTCACATTTTGACGTTTACTTCTGGAGATTGCATTTTTTCAACTTTTTTAAAAGTGGTGTTAATATGAGGAGATTATCCTGCTGAATGAAATGTGTAAGTATGATTCAAATGTGTTTGCCAGCGATTTTATTCCAAAATAAAAATGGAAAAATGTTTTTGTCGAGGGAGCTCTTGCACTCATCCCTGCATTACTATTCCCCCAGTAAAAATGGGAGATTGTTTTCTGAGCAAAGATGATATGCTCTTTTGGGAAGAGCACAGAGACCTTTATCAGTTTTTAATTCTCCCAACTCAAAACTGAATATAGCCTTTAGCCTTAATAACAACCCAGCAGCCTCTCTCACACAGCTGAAGACCTTGCACTGATGCTGACCCTGGATCAGACAGCTGAGCAGAACAGGAGAGGCTTTGTCTGCGAGACCAGAGGAATACTAAAACACTCAGGACTTCAGAGGGAATTTAAAACATTTGGAATGTCAAAACATTAAGAAAATACTGTAGGACTTTTAGCAGTATGGTTGAACAAAACAAGCATCCAAAAGGTCCATTTACAGAATAACTATTTTTAATTATAATAACCAATTTCAAAAGCCTTTCAAGAATGCTTAACAACTAACTAGTAACCTTATTATCTTTGAATAAAAAATACTCAATGTAGCTGTAAAGTTTTAGGAAAGAGAACCTAACCACACACACTCACAAATACACTGTTAATCTTAAGCATTATTAGAAATATCCTGTGTAACACAGGCTTCCTGCCATTTATAAACTACACAAACAGACTGTGGGTATGAAAATATGTACTTTCCTCTATGAAAACATGTGCTTCACTTGTGCTGAAATGCATTAACCTTTGGAAGTCACAGAAATGATTCCGAGATGACTGCTGGAACTTTCTAACATAAATGAGAGGAGAGTGAACACTCACCGTCATGACGGACTCAGTGGTCCTCCTGTCCAGGGACTTGGCTCTCCTCAGAGGCGGCAGGGCGGAGGGAAAATCTGAACCAACGTCACGTCTCTGATCCTAAACAACACACACATATTGAAGTTATTTTCAAACATGTGTACGTTTAATAAACTCTTATAGTAAAGAATCCTTTTTTTTTATTAAAATACAAAATAATAGCCCTTTTGGACTATTTGAGATTAAGAGGCCCTATTATGCTTTTGGGGGTTTTCCCTTTCCTGTAGTGTATTATATAGGTTTGTGTGCATGTAAATGGTCTGCAAAGAGGGAGTTTTTCTCCCACACACTCCCCCCTGCCTGAAACGCCTCCATTGGACTCCTTTGTTTACTTGGGTAACACAATGACAACACTATGTTACACCCAGCACATTGTACGTGCTAAGGGACAGTACATCCCTAAGCAGTTAACAAATCACAACAGAGCCGGCCAGCTAACCAATCAGAGCAGACTGGGCTCTGGTTTCAGACAGAGGGTGAAAAGAGGTGCTGCAGCACAGGCAGTATGAGAAAAATAAAGAGCTTTTTGAACATTGAAGCATGGAGACATGTCCCAGTAGAGACACTACATACTGATATGAACCTGAAAATGAGCAGAATAGGGCCCCTTTAAACATAGGAAACACAGAAACCACAAATCATTCATACTACATCATCTAATTTGGTCTGTTTAGGTGGTGCTGTGGAAAAATGTAATCAGAACCACTCCTTCTTTGTCAATCCCTTTGTCAGGATTAACTCAATGAAGCAAAAATAATGAAAACAAAACACACATATAGCATGAGGCTAAGTTTGTCAAACCTAAATGTGTGTGTGTTGTTTAACAGTAACAGTAGGAATGATCTAAAGCAGTTTTCTTTATCTGTAAACATGCGTGGTATTTTCATCTGTTTATGACTGACACCGAGGACCAAAGCTCAAGTGTGAAACAGTGCTTCACTGTGACTTTGTGAATCAGTGTGTGACGTTTCTATTTTCCTGAAGTTGGGTTTCAAGTGGTTCTGTCCGAGCACAGAGAGCCAGGGTGGGAAAGGGAGCAATAATCACCAGGGGAATCCCAGCACAGAATGGAAACTGGAAATGAAAACAGCACACGCTGCTGATCTCTGACCTACAACCAAAACAAAGACAGGACAGAGAGAGGGAGAGATGGAGAGAGGAGGCCAAGGGTGAAGGAAAAAGATAGAAGTGTGTGGGGGAAAACTTGGGCGGGGAGAAAATAAAACCCACGCTGGTAGGTCCAAACGCCGAGCACACGGGATGTTGTCCAGAAACACAGATTATAAGTCCTACTATATCTAATGTAAACTGCTGAACAATGGAGGCACTATTGGATCAAATATACACACGCACAAAACACACAGCAGTGTTACCCCTCTTTGGAAGCGTCTCTGCTCACTCCGGCCCTGTCTGGATCCACTCCCCCCCGACTCTTCCACCTCCATTTTCTCTTGATTCTCCAGCTCCAAGGCCTCCAACTTCTCGATAACACCGGAGCGACTGCAAATCAAACCACAGACACACACTTATTAGATAAACCAAAATCAATCAATTTAGTGTGTCCTAGATATTATACATCTTTTTATTTTTCCCAATGAATCATGTCTTTGTATGATAATGGCGCTGAGAGGCAGTAAAGCCTATAGAGCATGCTGTCAGAAAAAAAGAAGTCTTATAACCCTTTCAAACTAAATAGTTACAGGGAGGGGGGAGGAAGTGTGTGGGAGAGGAACTCCCTCTGGAGGGAATACAGGGATATTAGCCTTTGCAGACCATTTACATGCACCAAAACCTATAGAACACTACAGGAAATGGAAAACCCCAAAAAGCATAAAAGGGCCTCTTGAATGTTTTTTTGTTTGTGCTTCACCGCATGTAAAAAACTGTTTAGACGAGCCAAATCAGATAATGGATTTAAAAACTATGTTGGCATTTAAGATTAAATGTTCCCAAATGTGTTGCTCTTTTTTTGTGACTGATGTTTAAATGTATTTATTGCATCTAGAGTGTCGATCTATGCACTCGGCTGAATGTCTAATGATTGAATGTTGAAATGAAACTATTAGCAGATTTATTTATATCGTTTAATCTCTTTGTTCTCTCAATTGCCACTTCCTCTCTCCCCCTAGATAGATCTGGAGGGTGCATTGGACCAAAGATCCAAACAGCAGCCTCCGCTCACTGCTGTCCATCTGTACCCTTCCTCAAACTGTGACACAGTATCTTGCCAACTCTGACAGGTTCCCACACAGGCCTTTTGTTACATGACAGAGGAATCTGCACCAGAGAGGAAGAGGGTGAGAGGCAGCGAGAAATATTATATTACTCATTTGCCTAAATGGTGCCCTTATTTGGGGACTCTTGAGAGAAAGCTGCAGTCCTTAAAAGGGAACGAAGGAGAGGAAGAGGACAGTGTGAGGCCAAACCCCCACTGTGAGATTTTTTTGTCTTGAGTTATTTTGCAGGTAGGCTTAAAATAAATATTCAGAATAAAGAGTTGGCGGTGCTTTGCCCCAAAACTATGAGGTAGCATCATATTCACCATCAAATCCACAGCCAAGCACTGTTTCAATGCATCTTTTCTTATTATGCAAAATAGGGCCATGTTCAATCTAAAACAGTGTGTTAGGTTGAAGTATGACCATTGTTTCTTTACACAATCTCATCATTCATTGCAAATACTAGTGCATATTTAATCAAATTCAACTGCACAGGATAGAATGATGAGACAACAAAAGAGAAAGAAAGAGAAACTCCCTCTGAAGGGAACTTTGGGATTTGAGCCTTTTTGCAGACCATTTAAATGCATGAAAACCTATAGAGGACTCTACAGGGAAGGGAAACCCCCCAAAAGCATAATAAGGCCAATTCAAATGTGTACAATTATTTGGAACAGACTGAGGACAGCCATTCTTCATCATCCGTCATGCTACACCTTCTAACAGAGGACAGAGATATCTAGCTGCATCAGTATTCGGTCACCCATTGACCCGTACATATGTAATCAGGTTCATATCTGAAAAGGTCAGAAAGGTCAAGGCCTCCCTGGCTGTGTATGGGCATGCCTGTTTAGACATATACATAGAGCTTGTGTTTCTGAAAACCAAAGTGTTTCAAGTGGACCAGTAAGGTGTTTATGGGCTGTAGGTGGGCACTCCTCCTATTTGCTCTCCCCCTCTTTTTCCTTTCACAGCTGGCATGGATGGAGGGACAGAATGCAGCAGGAAGCTGACTGTGGAAGGAAAATGATGACCCCCCTCTCACCCGGTTGGTTTGTTTGTAAAGTTTGTGTAAGACCTGTGACCCCTTTATGAACAGCATCAGTTGCCGAAAGGCAGAATACTGAACACAAAGTACAGGGACTGTGTGTTTATACATTTTCCCCCTACAGTTAGTAAGGAGGGATTATTAGGTAACATCTTTTCTCAGAAACAGACAAAAGAGGGATACTCAAATGGCATAAGAAATCTCAGTATGTACAACTTTCCTCCTTCCTTTCATTTAAACCTGATGTGTTTGTGTGCACATCAAGAACGTTGGTAGTTTGTGCGTCACTAAACTGGTTGTGTGTCTGTGTAAGTGCCTTTAAAAGGATAAGCTAAGTATTTTGAGCCCACAGTGTTTGGGTATGGTGGTGAGGTTCCAAGAAAGCAGTCCACTGACCCGGTTGATCAGGTTGAATAAGGCTGATTAAATACTTCACCTATCATCAAGGACAGCTAGGTGTTATCAGGCTCAGTAAAGCTCTTCCTCTAAAGTGTTCATGTGTCCTTCTTGTTCAAGCCTCAAGCATGGGTGGATACATTACACAAACTTTTTTTTAAACAAGCATTTACAACTTATATAAACCAGAGTTTTATCTCAAGTGTTTTCAGTTAATGACTGTACTTTTGGTGAACCGGAAAGCTAAAGGACAAAACAAAATCCTAAAATGCAACTTTTTAAAAGGACACTGCAGTTGACTTAGTTGTCCTCTGGTGTCATTAGGGTTATCTGAAAGCATGGTGTTGCATTGAGGACATTTTGCATTTCAGCTTTTATGGAGGTCAGATAACACATAAAAGATAAGATACAAAAATAAGATAAAATAAGATGTTTCTGCCCAGTACAAAAAAAAAAAAAATGTACAAAATGTACTCCAGAACCATAAGCTAGCACCTATCCAGTCACTTATATATCTAATAAGGTCATTTTCAGGTTACAAACTACAAAATGTAAAATACTTTAACCTGTTAAGCCCTGAGCCTGTTTTTCAGGTCTCAGGCTCGAAAATGACATTCCCAGAACAAATGACCATATCTTCCCTTCTAAAAGGGTTAAATTAATAATCTTTTTTCTCAAAGTAATGATAAACCTGTGAGTTGGATGTAGAAAAGTCAGAATCAGTATAGATGTTTTTTATTTTAAAGAAAATTCAGATTTTACATAGTAAAAAACTGTAAATTATAGTGTCCGTTCAAAAATTCTTTTTTTACTTATAGTGAAAACTACCCTTGGATGATGGGTTAGTAGACTAAAAGCTTTAGGAATCCAAAGTACAACATATAATAAGTACCCTGTATCAAGATTGATGCAAAACAAGTGACATTTGACCTTTTTAGAGAGATTTAGCAAAAAGAAACCACTTCTGGGGTCATTTGGGTAGATTTTCCATATCTCTGGCTCCCCTTGGTCGATTTTGATGGTTGACACCTCTTTCTGACCGTTAGAGCCAATAGAATCGAAGGGGGAGTCCCCCACACACACTCATTGTGAAGAGAAATGGTGGGGGCTTCGCGCATGTAATTTTCCATCAGAGTGAACCTATCTCTAGCTTTGACATCTGGAAACGGAAAAGCAGTTTTAATGCTTATAGATTATCAGAAATCATTTCAAAGGGACACAGACACATTAGATTAACCTATGGATTAACTTCAGCAGCGTTTTTATCGTTTTAATGCCATTGAAGACCACTTTGGAGAGACTACAGAGCCAAGGTAAAAATGTTAGCATTTTTAGCTACCTAGCGTCACCTGTTTTGATGTCCGTTTTTGCTTATAACGTCACAAATACGTATAATTCAGTGGTAATGTCGGTGTCAAACGATTCTGTGTCACCTCACGATGTGAATCGATGTGTTGGATGTGGTGAAAAGATAAATAATAAGGTTTTGTGAGTGATTTTCGGTGCAGTAAGGTGTTAGCATTTTCCGCTCGCTGCTAATTCAGAGGCTCAGTGTTAGCATTGTGGGTTTTCTTTTGAAAAAAAAGAAGAAAAGATCAGTTAGATGAGTTTCTTCCCGTTACATGGATATAAAACATTCATAGTTTATTAAATGAACATGCCCTCAGACACTGTTTCCTGCAAGATGTTGCGGCAGTGCCCCGGTACCGGGGTCTCTCGGGCTTAACAGGTTAAACAAATTATCAAACAATGCCAGTAGTTTTAGTCTAAATGAATAGCTTTTGCCTTAAAAATAAACTATGTCTGCTTGTTGCAACATGTCTTTCTCTAAAGCTTACCTACACTGCTTTAGTCAAAAGGTTGGGAACCACTGATATATAGAGAGGCAAGAGACTATAAAACTGGATGAAAAAAGTAGATATAGTTAATGGTATATACATAATGGTACATAGATTTACCAAGCTATGGTCCGAATGTTTTTTTTTTTTAATATTGTAATTTTTGGTTTGTTTGTCTGTAATAAAACCTGCTGGATTGTCCCTCTGTTACAAAAAAAATAAGAAGGAGAGGGTTTCAATTCATAGTTCTCCCTTATTGCAAACCTTTATTACCTCCTGTAACGGCAAGTCTATTCAAAATGAAGAAGATGAGACTATAAAAAGGGACATTCTTGGTACTGTTATGGACACTGACCTCCTCTCGGGGCTGAGGACGGCGTCCCTCTCCTGCCTCTCGGGGCTCCTGTAGCGGCTCCTCTTCTCAGCCTTCCTGGCTTCGGCCTCCAGCCTCCGAGCGCGCGGCGTGTCGTGGTGGCTGAAGGCGTGGCCCCCCCTCTGGTGTGCCGGGTGGCTTTCGTTGCTGGTCACGGTGCTGCCGCTGGCGTCCGAGTCCAGAGAGCTGACGGAGCCGCTGATGTGAGAGCCGTTAGAGAGCAGGGAGCTGCCGGAGGGGAAGGGGTCGCTGGGGACCGGGGAGAGGCAGCGTGGGATGCCCCCCAGGCTGGAGCAGGAGCCCGTCGGGGAGAGCAGGTCCCTGGGGGGATGGGGGGCAGAGCCATGCAGCGCCAGGCTGCCCCGGTCCACCTCGTCACCGTTCACCGAGCTAACGTCAGAGCCTCCTAAACAAGAGGCACAGGACACGCCATGACCTGTTAACTTCTATAACTACAAATCCTTAGCTTTCCTTTGTTATGCGTTTTAATTTATTAATTGTATTTTTCTTTACATTTAATACCTCCAAAACCTTTGTTTAACTTTTGTAATAATTTCATGTGTATAAACACTAAAGAGTGGCGCAGGAATGAGTCACAAACCAGGAAATAAGTTAGCAGTTTTGCTTTCTGGGTTCCCTCTTCTGAACGTCAATAGATTTTTGATTGAGTTTTTGGTTAGATGCCTTGATTAAGGACCGGAACCTAAAGAGATTTAATTTGATTCTACAACATCAAAAAAGTCAGTGAATACCTCACTTGTAATTGTCTTAAGCTTCTATGTGTCTCAAAAACAGCAGTTGCCAACAAATGTCTAAATGTGACTACTAATCGTCATTACACCGAAGATTAGCCGCCTTTAGCTTAGCAGTGTTGACTTGAAGTCATGCAACCATGATGTCATTTGTTTATAGCATTACATTCACTATTTACTTCAGGCGATTGCATTTACGTTTCAAGTGTCATAACCATGTGCCACCGATCTTTTTTTCTGCAATATTCAAAAATTCAATGCTAAAATCCCATTGCTTTTAGTCGAGGGAACCCTTGCAAAGCTAACTTCCGGGGTGCGCCTAAATAAATACATCACCACTGCACCACTTTATACCGAGTTCTGTTTTATTCAAATATGTTATTCCTCCTCACCTGTTTGGGTCTGAGGAGAACCTGGAGGCAGGTCAGCGGGGGCCCAGACTGAAGCCCCCTCTGCTTCTCTCTGGTTCAGCTCCTCCTGCCAGATGATGGAGCTTGAGTCTGGAACCTTCTCTGCCTCTGGGATGCCAGAGCCGGTCACTGCTACCTTAGCTGGACCTGGCTCCTGGAGATGAACACATGAAATAGTCAGAAACGAGAAACAAGAAAAGTGAGATGAACCCTTTGAGAGATTGTGTAATGAGTATTACCTGAGAGGTCGTAGGCTCCACCTTGCGTTTCTTCTTCTGGTTCTGTTTGTTGGTTCGGGGGTAGACCACCAGCTGTTCACTCCACCTGGAGAAGGAGTAAGGTGGTTTTGATATTTGTGTGTGCGCTCACCTTATCCAATCAAACGCATGAGCAGATAAATCAAGAAAACGTACCCGTTGATGATCTCTTTATTCTCTCCTCTGATGAAGTACTCCTGGTCCGGGGTCATGATGCACAGCGAGTTCTTCTGACCTGTCTTTGGCTCGGCGTCAATCACATCCACACAGATGTTCATGTTCACTGTGCCCTGAGGCAGAGTGCTTGGCTAGAAGAGACACAACATGTTCTATTAGCCAGTGTATTAGCTAATACATATGACACGTGGATCGCCTTTTGGATAAAGCTTAAAGTTAGGGCTGGCTCAGACTTGCCTTGAACCAGCCCCTAGTTATGCTCCTTTAGGCTTAGACTTGTGTGGGACTTTCACCTTTTATCTTTCAACTCTCTTCAAAGTCAAAGTCAAAGTCAGAATTCTACATGTTGTACATCCAGAAATCTCGAAATATCGTTTGCCGCAGTCCTACAGTGTGACATGTATACATCAAACAAAAAACAAAAAGGGCCTAGATAAACATGGTATACATTAAACAAAACAAAGGGCCTAGATAACCGGGGTATACAGTTTAAAATGTTAATAATATATTTAAGTGTTCAAAGTACAGTTTCAGTGCAGTAGCAGCGTTAGTCCTGGGTTAGAGTCCAGGACCATGTGGGGCAGGGGAGAAAGGTCGGAGGCAGGGTGGAGAGTTCAGGGGAACTCTTTTCCTACTTCTCCTTTTTCTCTATCTGTATCATGTTCCATAAATGCAAGTTACTAACTCAGTATCAGTTGATGTAGTCTTGTGACGCCCACGTTTTTTTTAACAGAAGTTCATTTTAAAAATGTTTAATTTGGGTTGTCTGTGTTGTAACTTTTTCAAGGTTTTTTCCATTTCCCCCCCCATTGATTGTGTGTTTTCTTCTTTTCCTTATCAACTGGGAGGGTCTAAGATCAGATGGTGACATATTCTGTACACACTTTAAAGTCCCCTGAGACAAATATGGAAATGTGATATTGGATGTATAAATAAAATGTGATTTATTGAATGAAAACTGGAATGTTGGAGCAGAAAACTGAAAATAGCAGAGGAAATAATAGTACAATTAAGGCATAGTTTACACTTAATTCAACGGAAAGTGCTGCGCAAAGTGCTAGAACTAGAGCATAAAAAGAGGACACATTTAAACAGGATGCTTGAGTCACTGGTTTGTCTCCATCTATGTCTCTGTCGGTTATGTCCACAATGTTGGATGGGAGACTGCCCGGCTAAACACTGATATCATGGGTATCACGTTTCAAAACTGAAACTGAGAAGATCTGGGGGGAAACATGCCTCAGTGTTTCACAGACTTGGCTCAGCAGATTTCACATGAAGTCGTTACCAATCCCTTGTTTCTCATCAGTCTTTTCAAGAGGCAGGTTTTAGCGCCTGAACTGTATGGACTATCCGTTGTTATCATCATATCGCTACGGTAACTAGGCAAATCCTTTCACTTGTAGCACACACTGAGTGAAAGGGGGAGATGACAGCGATGTGATTCCGCACTTAAGCTGCTTTGTGCGTAATCACTGAAGAACGCAGAGCTGTGTCTGCTTTGTACGACACAAACAACACTGAACAATCTCAATATCTTTCTTAAAAAAGGAATACATTCAATGTAATTTGAAGCGGATTGGTAATCGTCTCGTTAACACCAGAGCAAAGAAACCCCCTAAACTTCTTCTCCAACCTTTTCTCTGTCTGCTCTGAATCCTGCAGCTCTGTTATCAGGCTTCACTGCTACAGATGTAAAACAGGTGCTGGGTCCCTTTCCAGCTCCTTTTAAGGCCACTGAGCACAGATCCAGCTTTATAAAGATCTGCCTGTAAACCCCCGGGGGCTGCCAAATATGGCAATCAAACTGCGTCACACTTTAGAACTCAGAAGCTGTGGAAGAATGTCCTCCACTATAAAAAATCATGTTTGAGGAGTTCAAGTAGCTGTGTCGAACTGTGTAGAACCCTGCAGTGTGGTGAACCGTGGAGACAACACTATCCAAGGGATATTTCTAAAATGAGAATTGTGACAGAGAAGTTGAGATTATATATATTTACAAATATCACTTTAGCACATTATTTTGTATTTCCATCTGTACGACTTAAAAAAAATCAAACAAAGAAAATGTCGTTTTTGTTAATGTACTTTTCCTGTGTGTTTCATGTAGTCTTAATATGTTTATTGTATGCACATAACTACAAGGCACATTCATGTAAGTCAACTCAGCAATAAACCTTTTCAGGTTCTCAAGATCAGGAACATTTAGTGAATCAATAAAGTATACGATTAACAGAAAATCTATCTGAAAATATTAAAATTATATTTCATTGTTAAAATTATTATGCAAAGCAAATATCAAATTCCAGCTTTTAAATGTTGACAATTTGCTTCTTTCCTTGGCTTAAGTGACTATCAACATAATATATTTGGAACTGTTTGGTAGGACAGACAAAAATGAACATTTGATGATGTTGTCACGTTGGGCTTTAGAAAACTCTGACAAGTGATAGAAAAAAATGGTTAATCCCTTATTGAGAAAATGTTATTAGCTGTAGCTGAAACACAGATTTTTAGCTCCTCATTTGATCAATGACACTTAAACCAGGAGCTTAGCTGTAAAGGGTTTTATCGACCAAAGACCTCTTCAACATCTCTTTGATCCAACAGATGCTCAGCTGTGGAAATATCCTACTGTTCTTCTATATAGTCATAGTATGACTGAGGGCAAGCTTTCTAAGTTATTTGTTGCTGTTGGGTGGAGTCTGGATTTCTTAAGTCCATTAATCGTGGTCCTGAGAGAATAAACACAACATGTTCCCTAGAAACTGCCCACTGCTACTGGCACCAAAACAAAGGAGCTCTATCTGCCAAGGCGACCATTCAAACACAAGAGAATTGTCATGGGTTTTTATTCCTACACTGCTGGGCCAATTCCATATCCTTCGATTGTGTCTGCTTTCCCGGGGGCTGACTATTTTTAGCTTTGCAATGGGATATTATTAAAACCAACAACTTTCTCAGAGGCTACTCTTGAGATCCCCGTCACTCTGGCTGACAGAGGCCACATCAACTAAACAATACCACCCACAGGAGACTGAAAGGCTTTAAACTGAAACAGGGATGTGTCTATAAACTACCACATGCTTACGTTTTTCCTTTATATTGCAGCCCATGCCCAATAGTAAACTTTCAAGAAAACTGTGAAAATGGCATGAAAAACAGAGGCAACTTTAGAATTAAGTGGAGCACACCCACTCCATAAATAATAAATCCTCCAGGAGGTTTTTACAGGCCGAGCCAAAGACAAGTAGCAGGCTGTGCAGACTGCCGTTTATAATGGTACCTCAACCCAGCACCTCCATCTAAGCTCCTTACAGACAGTAACTACCAGACTAGCTTGTTCTGAAACTGCCATTATGGAAATCAACAAAAATGGATTCAAAACAGAGAATAAAGTAATAATGCTTTTAATTTGTCTAAAATAAGATAGAAGAAGCTCTGGAGCAAAGCGGTGCTCTCCTGCCTTCAGCATGTTCTCATGGTCATTGACCTTTTCACCATTAAGCTCTCAGGGTGGTCTCATTATATTTCCATCTAGGACAAATCGGTTTCTCCATGACAGTCCTAACTATCTATCCATTTCCTGTCTTCATCTTGATTTGATTGGCCTTATATGCAACAGTTATGTGCTTTCCTCTAATGCACGAGCAGTGTTAGCATCAGCAGAGTGTTTGGTGCTTGCTGCTGCAGGCCGTGTGTGGAATGTCTGGGTCTGGGGCATATCTAACGTTTCCTCTGCGGTTTTCTAGGGGCTACGGCTCCCTTTCTCCTTCTCTCTGGTCCCGGTGCTGCGAGTTTACTGCAGTTCACCAAATAAGGGCATTTGAGGAGGAATGCTGCTTTAGATGGTAGAGCATCTTTCCCTCTGCTAGTGGTGAAAATAGTTTCAGAGGCAACCGATTCAGATAGCACCCTGCTGTGTACTTGCTATAAATATCTGCCAATATCATCACTCCCTGGTCCTTTTCCTTCAGGATGATTCAAAAGAATCTATATGGGAAAAAAGAATTGGACACAACCACTATTTTACTTTAATATATTTAGTGACAGGAAGCTGAGAAAAACTGCCTTCCAATGTTTGCCAGATAATCATTATGACTGAACAGTAGAAGCAAAAACAGATCTTCATCCTCATGCTAATGTCAGAATGACACAAAAGGAATTCACCATGGCGAAAAAGCATCCATGCAAGTTAAAAAATGTGTCTCTTGAGTTTAAAATTGTCCCTTATCCAAAGCCTTTATGTTTCTACTTCATGGATGAATGGAGAAATGAAGAACATGAGAGCTCAGAAGGAACATACCGTTTGCACTTTTTTGCTTTTTATGGGCAAATAAACACAGACTGTAAACACAAGCCAGTGATCAAAGTTACACAAGGTGAACACACATTTAAAAAAAAAAAGAAAAGCCTCTGATGACATGGGACCCAGCATGTTTGGAGTACAACGCATTTGAGGGAATAAAAAGGTAAAAATGTCTCATGGCAAAGCCCTACAAAGGACGAAGGAAAAATCTTTTAAAATGTAGCAAAAGGCTGGAAATTCTGCCTTTTGACTATTGCCATGACATTTTTGCCAGGAAGTCACTTCTTCAAGCCAAGTCATATTTGGTCACATATTGCCCTTGTAAAACGTTTTGTACCCGTAATAAGCTAGCAGCATTAGTCGGTGTCAGCAGTGATTGTTAGGCCATACACAGATTACATTACTTTCCCATTTTGCTTTTTTTTTTTATATAAAGAAACCCAAAACATTTAGTTCATTTTCACATGAGCTATTAGCCTAGCAGCTTACCTTCAACAAATTAATTACTTTTGAGGAGGAGGAGTTGGTTTTCACTCTTTACGATGCAAGAGCCATAGGAGTTGACCAACAACACAAGTTCTAAACATTTGGTGTCAAAGTATTTTAGATTAAATCAAATGCTAAAAAGGAACCTGATAACATTCATTTGTATACTTTTGGTATGAAGCAGTGCGGAGATGGAGAGATCACAGCCAACCATCATTTAGAATTAAAGTGCACCTATCATGCTATTTTTAGGCAATAGCACAGGTCTCAGATATATACAAATATATAAAAAACATGTCTATGAAGTGTTTTGCTCAGGGTTAGGGTTAGGGTTAGGGGTTAACCCTAACCCCTAACCCTACACATATTTATGTATATAAGACATAAAAAAGTGCATTTTGCATGATAGGTCCCCTTTAAAGTAAGCTCAGTGGCATACTTACCTCTGGACATAGAGTAGCTAGGCTAATTAACTGTCAACATTTTATTTTAAAGCCATGGACAACATCTGGTTCAACCTCAAGTTTACTGTGGACCTTACTTTAGAAGAAAGACATATGTTTGTTATGTAAGCTATTTTTGAAGAACAAAGTCCTCACATAACATTAAGTGAGATATTTTAATCAGAAGAATAAGCCTTGTGAATGGAAAAAACAACATTTCATTCCAATATAGACATATATTGTTACAAGATCTTGAAAATGTTGAAAGATTGTGGACCACAATCAAATTCAAAAGGTGACTGTAAACCTAAACCTGGCTTACCGTTTTTGACATGGCAACTATTGAATAGAAATTTGAAAAACAAAAGAATATTTATCTATTTGTATTGTATCGCAGGAACCTCCTTAGTATGAGAGGTCTGTTGATGAACCGCAATAAAGTCAAAATGATGAGATCAAACGAGGCATAAGACAAAGAGATGGGGGTGGGGTTCCTGTAAATCTCTCCACTCCATAAAAAACACATGTGAGGAGTGGGTTATATGAACATAAACCTCAAACAAATCGTATCTGCCCTCCACTGGTGGATCAAGCCATTGGGTAAACAATGGTGAACTTAATAAGATGGAGAATATTAACGTTGTGTTATCAGCTCAGAGGTTTTGGAGAGCTGCTATCCTCAGAGTCCAGAGCACAAAGCGGCCATTTCCCTGACCCACTTTTCCTGCCTTTTGGAGCACATGAAAAGACCAAAGGACAATGAGGCAGACGGTTTTGAAATCACTTTTACAATGAGAGGAAAACACAACTGCACACCAACCTGGGTGTCACTGGAAACACATTACACAGTGGAAACATGCACACGCACAAACGCAACCGAGTTTCCTCCCATTGTCATCACTGGCAACACGAAGAGATTCACCAAGTGGGACATCAAACAGCCGGCTTATACACAGAGGCAAAGTTAGCTAAGTTACACATTTAGCTCATCTCCTTTCCCCTGGCTGTATGACTCACTCACAGGGACACCTGCTGAACAATCCATCTCTTTCCTATGAAAGGGTCCAGACACAATAACATCTCATTGAGAAACGATTCACGTTAAATCAATCGTTGACACTAGAGATGTCCCGATCCGATCACGTGATCGGGGATCGGAGCCGATCACGTGATTTTCAAAAGATCGGAATCGGGAGAAAAAAATCGGGGATCGGGATATTTTTTTTTTTTTTTTTTATAAAATATTTTTATTATTTTATTTAATGTAACAAAACAAAAATGACCATGTTCACGTCTTAAAGTCATCCTGAGGCCTTAGTTTTGGTTTAAAATTACACAACATCATGTATGTGTTGCTTCTTTTGGGCTTGTTTTCATAGACCTGGTTGCTTATTTCTCTCAAATCTGGCAACAGAGTGAGCGCAGTGTCTAATAGTAGCAGTAAGCTAACAAGAGGCTACGTTCAGCTGGTGCCTCGGGAGTCGGGACAGAGAAAATGTCAGGAGTTTGGAAGTATTATAAAATTGAAAGCGAAGGCAGTGTAACAGCCAGATGCAATGTTTGCAAGGCGGAGGTTCCGCGTGGTGGAAAGAACAGAGCTACGTTCAACACGACCAATCTAATACGCCACCTGAGAAACAAACACCAACAACAACACGACGAGTACACAGCGGCCACTCAGGTAACGGCACTGAAACAACCGACACTTTCAGAGACTTTTAAAAGGAAAGAGAAACTGCCCCAGAACAGTGAAAAGGCCAAAAAAATAACAGCCAAGATAGCTGAATTCATCGCGTTGGATGACCAGCCGTTATCTGTTACCTTTTTTTTCCTCTTAATGCATTGCATAAAGATCGGATCGGGAAAAATTGGTATCGGCAGATTGTCAAAATCAAATGATCGGAATCGGATCGGGAGCAAAAAAAGGTGATCGGGACATCCCTAGTTGACACATTTCTCTAAGACCTTTAATCCCATTTCCTTCACACTTGGCAGTTTATATTGGAAGTTTATAATAATGAACTTTGAATGCTGCAGGGGTTGCTTGACAACCCTATACTTCTACACTGAGTGAGACACTGCCTTTTATAATGGTCAACTTAGCGTTACTTATGAATATTATATTTATATTATTATAGACTACATGAGTTTTATGCTACGACTACCTAATTTCCACCAATTCGTGGAGCTGTTTGAGTCAATGCATTTCCCAGGACACACCCTTGAATATTTCACAATATAAGCCTTTTGTAATCAACTTCTTTATCCCTCCGACATAGGGAGGTCACAATATCAAACATGTTGTATTCGATACCAATACCAGTGAAATTCCACAATTATCTAAACTACTAAATAAAGTATAAATTCTATGTATATACACATGTTAACTGATATTTGATGGGAAGTTATACAGGTCATAATTCCCTCTCTAATATCTATTTCATACTGCTGGGAAAACATATCCTTCAAACAATCGCAGGTATTCAGGTTTCTCCCATAAAACTACATTTTACAAGACTAAATATAAACACATCATGATAACATTACCATACGCGATGATTTACCTTTCCCCAACACTCATTTCTACTGAATACAGCTTGAGTACTTCATAATGCAACTCTATGGAACCTCTGCTCACTGGCAGCTAACTTCTAATGGCTAACATTATTAGCTCTCCTCCTTAAATTAACAAAGGGATATGTCGTTGAGAATGTAGCATGGCATAGCCAAATGTTTATTGCTCCTGATGAGCAAGTGGCATCTTCTATGGAAGGCTCTGCCAACAGTTTAATATTGTTTGTGTTAATGGGTCAACCTAGTGAAGTAAAGCGCTTTAATAAATAATGTTGAAATGAACACGTCTGGACCTATTTAGTGTGAACAGTATCCAACCCAAGCAGTGTGTGGCCCCCAGTGTTTACACTCAACAGCCTGATCTCCCGGTTTGGGTTTGGTCACCCGTGTCACATTCCCCTAGTGACACACTACCACCACACACACAGGCTTACAGTGGGCACCACGAGGTGACTTCTTTACACAGTTAATATGCGAGTAATGTTCTTTATTGCGAAGGTTCATGTTTCCATGAGGACTCAAAACAACAGCATGGCTGTAACTAACTCTGGGAATTTACTTATTAACAACACTATGCTGCTGTGCTTTTACTGTGACACGTCTCCATGCTTTAATGTTCAAAAAGCTCTTTATTTTTCTCATACTGAGATCAATGATTTCAATGGGATACACCTGGATAAATAAAGGTTTGAATGAATACTGCCTGTGCTGCAGAACCTCTTTTCACCCTCTGTCTGAAACCAGAGCCCATTCTGCTCTGATTGGTTAGTTTGCCGGCTCTGATTGGTCCTATTACATACAATGTGTTTGAGCAGTGGCCAATAGAAGGTGTTACATATTGATGTAATAATGTTACTGAAGTAAACAAAGGAGTCCAATTGAGGCCTTTCAGGCAGGGAGGGGGGGGGGGGGGGGGAGAGAGAAACTCCCTCTGGAGGGAACTTTGGGATGTTAGCCTTTGCAGACCATTTACATGCACAGAAACCTATGAAGCACACTACAGGAAAGAAAACAAAACTGGATGTAAACATAAATGAGTTTATCGCCAAATAACTTGTGTTCTAATGCCAAGACACCTCTTGCTTTAAAAAAAATTGACTTGTCACACTAACTTGTAAAATGTTTATTTTTTGTATTTTCCTCTTTCAGCTCAGATTTGACAACCTCTTGACGAGATCAAGTGACATATTTTAAGATGCATAACTCACCGATTCGTCCAGGGCAAAGCGCAGACAGCCATGTTCGTACAGCACAAAGAATCTCCGTTGCCATTTCTGTCAGGAGAACAACATGCTATGAGAAAATCCCATTTTGAAACCATAGTAGGTGGTTTTATAAGTAACAAAAGCACAGACACATTGCTCTTTCTTAATAGACCAAAAAACAATTAGGCATTAGAGTTAAGCCTCACTTTCCATTATTCCAGCAGGGGCCATAGGGGCACTAAATAGAACTTCAGCCCACAACTAGTACCCCTACTAAAGCCCTTCCCGTAAATAATGGGAGGTATTAGCATGAATGTGTTTACATCGTGTGTATACCAATTTAGTGAGCCAACACACAGGCCTGTAATGCATGCTCTTACCCGGGATCTCTGCATAGGATTGTCAAAGTCAGTTCCCTCAGGGGCCAAACACAGCCATCCACCATAAATAGGTTTAGCCTGTAAAAGAGAGGGGGGAGAAAAAAAGAGCAATTTAGCTGATCATTAAAACTGAGAGAGTGAGCTGGGGGGAAGGGGAGGGAGACACATAATGTAAATATGACTATTGGGTTCCAGATATAGCTTCTGTTCTCAAACAAATGTGCAGCCATACAGCAGTTATTGAGCTTTTTGGTGTAATACACTCTGTTTGATGATGACATGCATTAGTGCGTTTCTTTCCCGATGACCCAGAGAAGATTGATTGACTGACTAGTTGCAAAATAAACAACACCTCAACACACAGTTCTGTACTTCCACCAGCTTTGTCAGTCCAACAGAGGCTGAACAGTTCAAAAGACTTGGAAACATATTAACAAAGAGCCCACTCCCATTGTTTTGCTCCTGTAAAACTCCTGCTCTTTGCGCTCCATTACTGATGACAGTCCCTCTGCCTAAAGTGTTAACCATTAGCACAGCAGCTCTCATTCCAGCACTCACTCCCCCCCCCCCCCCCTCTATTACAAACCTTTCTCCTGGAAGGTAGAGGGATCTGATTATTAAGTCTACTTTTCTATACCGGCCCTGTAACTGCTCCATGTCACTGCATGCCTGTCATAAAGCTATACGTGCCTTGTTTGAACTTGTATAGACGTGCCTATGAAGGCAGTTTGACGAGCTAAAACCATTACAAAAATATATTACTTTAGTTGCATTTGTGACCTACCAAAGTAAAATAAATCTGGTAATTTGGCAGAAGTTGACCAAACTATTTCACTTATGATCTCTTGCCCTGCATACACTCACACAATGACAAACACACTTGATAACTTCCTCTCACCCTTACCAGGAAGCTCAACCCTTCCAATCTGCAGGTGTACTGCTTTCTGTACTGCACACATCCAAACTAATGTGGACAAATGGTATTATTAAGCTGTCCTAACAACAGGCTTTTTGATGTTTCAAAGTGCTTTCAATCAATTCAAATTGACTGATTAATTGATTAAAAAAGATATATATATATATATATATATATATATTGCAAAAGTCATTATTGCTTTATATTTTAAAATACTATGTACATTACGTGGCGTTGTAGTAAAATATGTATGACAAACTGGTAAGAGAAATCAGACGGTTTTCTACTTTAATAACATGATTTCTGAATTATTGCCATGTAGTCCATCAATTTTCTGACCCATAGCTAAAGGCGTAGCCGGTGTGATCACCCTCTGTGTGATGTGCACTACACAGGGCACTCAAACATTCCTATTCATATAACGAGTACTACCCGTTCCTATAGTGGTGACCCTGTTTGCTATTTTCTACTCCAATGAGTGTTTTTTCTTTTTTTTAAAGATAGCCAGAGAATGAAAAGCACAAATGTACGTTACACCTTTACTACTATGAGATGTCACAGTGTCTGTTTCACAATTACAACAATAGGGCAATAGGCACAATTTGCATCACACATTACAAGGTACTTGCATGTGTTTGACTTACCAACACAGTGCTGTGCATTGCATTACAATCCAAATACAGTTTTGTTCTTTTAGATGTTGAAGCTGGGACATTCTTTATTGAGCCATGTGTTGCTGCTTTGGTACAATTAATATACTGTTTCATTTTAGCCAAACACACTCTACAGGTAGGGATGCTCCGATCGATCGGCCGCCGATCGATATCGGCCAATACTCACTCTCTGCCGATCGATCGGTGCTCTCTAAAAATGCCGATCGCGAGAGCCGATCGCATGAAGTAAAATACATGACACTTTTCTCTGTGCGCGGCAAAACAAGCTCGCCAAAATGGCTTCACCAGTCTGGCAGTATTTTAAGGTGTCCGAAAAAGACAGTAAAATAGCGGTATGCAACGTGTGTGAAGCAGAAATCCTACAGCTCCACCCGCTGTGACGGACCGGTGAGCGGAGCAAAACACACACTAAGAGTTAGACTCTTATGGCGCGTTTCCACTACAGCGCGGAGCACGGTTTAAGAGGGCTGTGACGTCAGCGGCCCGTTTTTGGTTGCGTTTCCACTTGGCCTAGTACCGGCCGGCGGGTCCTAATTCACAGTTTTTCTGGCCTCATAAAATCGTGGTTCTAGGGCCAGAGACAACGAGGCTGAGTCGGGCTGAGTATGCTAAACTAGAGAGAGAATCGCTGGCAAGGGGGCTACAACTACAACAAGATGGACATATTTGACCGTGATTTAATTGTAATACACGTTTCAAAATGATGCCGAAGTAACAACATACTGATACCGCTTAGTAAAAACCATGAATTAATGCTTTGACAAGTCTGCAGACAGACGGCAGGCGAAAAACCTTTTAAAATGCGTGTTTTCTAAATGGAGATCGGCTAAGCTAACGCAGTGTATGCTCCGACCGTCCACACTCACAACAACGGCCTATACAGACATAAATAAAGCAGCGACTGTATTCGCCATGACACAGGCAGTCTGTGGTTTGTACTTGTTTAACTTTTGTCTAGTTTCTGAACAGATATGAGGAGCTGTGAGCTCTGAGTGCTAACAGCTAACGGCTGTGTTGTTTTTCTGGGGTTCTCATTGAAGATGACGTCACGGCTCCGCCTACACTGCGTTACTATAGATACTACCCCAGTTCCTAAACTGTAATGGAAATGCGCCATAAAGTGAGCCAGTCCTAACGAGGCCTAGCCATACCGAGCGAGGCCGTGTAGTGGAAATGCGCCATTAGTGTGTCTAAATAGCTAAATAGTCACTTAGCTATTTTATCTACCTCTGGAACAAGCTAAACTAGTTATAAATATATTTATTCTTCACTGTCGGGTCACTCATTACTGGATCAGTGAGCTGCAGGAGATACTGACAGGCTGTCAGGAGAGAGAGAGAGGGGGAGAGAGGAAAAGAGAGCGCTTCCGCTCATTTCTCCCGTGTTATTATCCAAAGTTAATGTAAACTTGAATAATGTACTTCATTTGAATGTAATAATTATGTTGGTTGTTGTTTGTGGAAGCGCCAGTGAATGAGCTCCATTAACTGAGTTTCAAACATCACTTTAAATGGAAGATCCCCATAGGCCCCGCCCACTCGATCGGATCGGCGATCGGTATCGGCTGATACTGATTCCGGCGATCGGCCCCAAAATTGGCGATCGGAGCATCCCTATCTACAGGTATGCTCATTGACATATCTGCTGCCAGACATCTGCAAAACAATTTATTGTGATTTGAACGCAGCTCATTAATGTGAATAAAAGATAAAGGTAATTCCTTGGCAGAGCTTCAACCAGCGCTGTTACTGTGCTTGGCAGCACCTGAGAGCATAAACATGACATTCACAACTAGTGTTGTCTGATGCTATTAGTGACATATAAAATGAGGGAGCATTGACAGCAATATCTAAAGCTATCCAGTATCTATTTCCAGTTACATTTACCGTAAGTAAAAAGTGTTAATAGGACGATCAGTTTTTTTATGTATTTTCATTAGTGTAATCATGGTCATAGTTCAGCATGTTCATTCTAGCAAGGGGGCCGTTGTAGCTGACCAGGAAGTGGGTGTCAAAAACAAATGCATCTGGGTGTGACAGGGGACCCACGTGAAAGTCATTCCATTATCACAACAGTGATCCTAAATACAAAGGCCCTTACAGAAACACTGTATCAGTCTGAGGCAGTCATATATATAGTCCATTTGGCCTGAAGCCATGGCGTCTATGTTTGAGTAATGAAAACAGCTAAGAACAGACCACAGTCAGTAACTGTCGGAACATATGGTACTTGTAATTAAAGCTATACAGTAATGTTTGCTGTGTATCCTTATAACCTCACATGGTGGGATGTTGAGCAGCAGCCACTTTGGAACTCTACTCTGATTTCCCAACCCTCGACTTCCTTTTGCTACTCCTGTCTCCTGATCCACTCCTTGAGATTCCATCACATCCCACGTACATGTAAACCTAAAACCTGCCTGCATCCTCCATCACTGCCCAGCCTCCCACCACCTCTGCGGGATAGCGTGATCATTTTCCTCAAAGAATGTATGAGACGTTGGGGACAACAGACTTGGAACTCAAGGGGACATACTCCCCCAGACCATCTTTTATTCTAGCAGTGTTGAACCAAGAGTTTGTTTATAGACGATACCATCCTTCTGACATTCGGCTCTATTACATTTCATAACTTTTCCAAATGGGCTATCTGTTTGAAGGCTCCAGCATCCCATTAGTTGGCTGACGTTTTTTATAATCAAGAGTGACTTTCTATAAGTGCAGGCAACCAAGAGGATACAAACACAGGAAAGAGAAATCCATCAAGTACATTTAGAGTGCTAGAACAGCAGCAGCTTCAAACTTGTATTTAATCTAGTGCTCAAATTCACTTAGCCAAATCACCTATTCATGGTGTTTTAACAACATTATGCAGCTTTACAGAAGCCTTCTATTCACCGGGTTATTGAGTTTATCTCCTCTAAGTCAGCCCGTATCCGTTTCTGAACACTGGGAACATTTTACAAAGCCTAACCCTTAGCATGGGCCTGTTGAACAAGGCTCAGAAGTTTCACACTGTTTATGTGGCGTTACATAATGCAGCTTTAGCCCGGTAATGGCCTGGTGCATAGCCGTAACTGGTTCCAGGACTGTCCAGACAGAATCCTTACAAAACCTGCTTGTGCAACTGAGCTCCCTGCGTGCTCTTTGGATAGCTGACAGACGGACGACATTTTTAACTGCCTCTTGGCGACTGCGACAACACTGATGAGCAAGGACTGGTGGAATATCTATTTAGAAGGCCAGGGGGGTAAGCCTATCTGGTTCCTGGCTGTAGAAGAGAGTGTGGGCCAGGTCGCAGCAAGATTATAGGAAGTGATGTAACTAACCATAAGCCGACTATCCTGACTCAGGAGTCTCATATAGGAAGGGTTAACCTGCAATAAACTCAGTGCAGCAAGCAACATACACCTTGAAAAAAGAAATTAAGTGTGCTCCCCCCACACACACATCCTCTTCTCAGAGGAAAGGAGGATGCTGACGTTGCCGTTTGGCTCTTGAGCCGTGTTCAAGGTCCCATCTGGGTCTCGTGTCTGGGATCAATTACAGGATACAACAGAGACTAAACTTATGATCTGATACAAAGAAACAGGGACTCTGAAAACATGCTTATGATAGGGTCTCCAGTTTTCCTCTGCTGAATGGGGCTTAATCTTGCTCAACTTATATTTGTTGTTCTTCAATCAGATCCCTATTAGCTTCCACATATTGGTCACCGGTCTGCATGGGGTACACACTCAAAACAAACAACTGGAGATAAACAACAGCTGAGGGTTACACAATCAATCACAGAGACCAAACTGCTGGCAAATGCAGCCATTGTAGTCAGACAAATCCACAGGAATTCACTTTCACCACAAATGGAAAGATACATGTTAAGAAACCATAAAAGGCTTCAACCAAAATAAACACCCTTACTGTCTCTACACCATAGCTCAATGTTATCTTTCAACTAGCCTACTTTAAGATTGATTTGACCATATAACGAAATGCGTTTGGACACCATGAACTTTTCGAAGTAATTTATTAGGCGGTGATGGTGGTCCTTTTACATTTTCAAATAATAATCGATACTAAAGAAAAGTGTTTTCAAGCTTCAAGGATTAGCTTCAGTCTACATATGTATGAGCTTTTCAAGCTGGTTGCATAGTTACCAGCAAATTAGTATTTATCTTTTACTTCCAGTTTAGCAGCAACAACAGTCCTTTAAAATCATTATGTCGTTGGCAGCCAAGGAGGGGCTTTAAATGATAAAGCAAGAGTAAAATAATCATTGGTGGAAAGTAACCATGTACATTTACTCAAGTACTTAAGTACACATTTGATGTACTACTTTATACTTTTACTCCACTACATTTTAGAGGCAAATGTTGTACTTTATACTCCACTACAATTATTATTCTACAGATTAATTTACTTTATACATTCATATTTTGACACACAATACTTAGGAAAGACTTTTGAAATGTGATTATTTGGTATAGATAAACCATCCAACATTATATTTAGATAATTAAAACAATGAGTGGGTTAACAGACAAATTAATTGTTAGCATTTTTCTTTCTTTTTCTAAAAATATTCAACAGTTCCATGATCTTAAAATATGAAGATTTGCTGCTTTTGCTTTTCAAATATGTGTTATATTTGTTTGCAAAATGACTCCTAACACTTTAAGTACATTTTCCTAATCATACTTAAATGCTTTTCCTTAAGTGTGATTCTTGATGTAATAATTTTACTTGAACTTTTGTATTTTTACAATGTGATATTCGTACTTTTATTCAAGTAAAGAATCTGAAGATTGTCCCCCAGTGATAATGATTAATATTGTGACAGTCTGCTCACCTGGGTCAGGTCCTGGTCCGTCAACAGATGTAACTCCCGTGGTTTGAAGCAGTTCTGACATTTACTTTTGTTGAAGAAGTTCGCCTGGAATTTCCTACAGGGGTTTTCTTTTGCGGTAGACATTATATTTCACCTCTTATTTGAACTTTATGGGATAATTTCTCTTTTGTGTATTTTAGTGCCGCTGTTTTCTTGTGCGTCTCTTCTATCCCAACGTAGGAAGAGCTCCAGCACTCCGATGCATTTTGAAAGCACAACAGGAATTGTCCAGGGTTCAAATCAAACGCTTCTTTTGTCTGTTTATCCAATTACTGCTTCCCAATAAATAACCACCGCCTGCCATCAAGCCAGCCTTCTCATCACTCAGCCAGTGATGGGTGCTTCTCAGTCCATGGCCTGCAACCACAAAGCGGAGATAGGTGGCTAATATCCTGTTAGCTTGCCAGTGGGTCTCCAGATCAATAACGTGATTGCTTACGCCACACATACAGCAATTGCACAGTTCTCGCCTTCAAGCTCCGAGGCGATAGCGCCAACAACAGACTCCCATGTGAAGGATAAAAGAAAGCTTGCAGTCAGACAGCAGGCTACTCTCCCAGCAGTCACTCCATGCGAAGTTCATCCACGGCTAGCCCAGTCAGCTAACTTGCAGATAGGCTAATGAAAACCTCTCCTGGCTGGCGTATTTAACTTGACTTTTAAAGAGGCGACGGTTCGTAAGTCCAGAGTGTTCCAGAGCTTTTCTTCCAGGTGGAGACGCTGCTTGCAGGGGAAGCACCTCCCGGCCAGTCACAGAGGGCTAAAGCGGTATTTAAGGGTTGGTTCCATTACTAGCCTTGTTAGCAGCAATAGGTTTATTTTCTTCTTTACCAAAGGAGAGCGAGGGGGGAGAACACACACAAGCTCATGGAATTCTGTTGTGGAGTCTCGCGAGAACTGCGCGCTGTCGCCGCCCACAGCGAGACTACAGTTACTGAGTGTTTTAACAATAATGCTTAACCGTCTGTTATAAATAACCTGCATTAGATTACAATATAAATATAGCCTACTATATATTGTGTATCCTGTGTCAAGGATGTGTTACTGCGCACTATTTTATGAACAGTTTTGTATTTAATTATATGATAATGCCAAGATAATAATATATTTTGTATGTCAACTCTTAATCTGCCCATTACTGGATTATTTATGGGGTGTTGTAATTAGCTTTTTAATGTTGTATTTAGTTGAGGTTAGAGTTCATCTTGACAACTTTATAAGATAAATAAAGATAAGATACACTTTATTGATCCCAAATTGGGATTTGTTTTCGTTGCAGCAGCATGTAAAACAAGGCATTGTATATTATATATTGGTAGTTTAATTTGCACAGTAATGTGTATCTGTAAAGTAAAAAAAGTGCTATATCTAACTCTTAAATGTGCTTGAGTATGATAATACAGCAATATTGGAATATCCAAGAAAAGTACAAGTAGCCTACCTCAAAATTGCAAAATACAGCACTTCCTTTTTCTATAAATATTTAATGAATTAGAATAAATGCAGTATAAAAGCTGTATTCTAACCTAACAAAGGGGCCTTAACAAATCATTTATGGGTTGGAAAGTATACTTAAACAACATTAATATGGGAACACTTGCCCCTTAAATCAACTCAGACTATCACTTGTCGTCCATCCCTACATGCTGGCAACAAGGGGACATGCCTCAGCTACCACATACGTCTGTGTATTAATGGCTGACTGCAGCAGAGGCTATTATAAGCAGCAGGTTCCAGTGGACAGCAGCAGGACGGACGGACGGACGGACAGGGGAACAGAGCGGTGTGAATGGACGAGGGACATTAGAGGGACAGGGACGTCTGTAACTCAACTAAATCCGGAAAAACAACAGCCAGTCCTTCTGAAGGATTAGCACCCTGTTCATGATGTAAGTGAACCAAGAATAACGCAGATTACAGGTGTGTGTCTGTTGCGTGGTTGCTGTAGATTTGCACTCACAAATTGACTAATCCACTGGGATCCAATCATGTGCCAGCTCAAATAGCAGGCTGAGGTGGAAAGTGGGTCTCTGGAGCCATCATAAATACCAGTTTTAATGTGGATTAAAGGTTATTTTAACATGTTTTCACAAGTAACAACTAATGTCCACTAACAACTAAGGGCAACTAAGGTCATCCCTTCCTTATGAATGTGAGCCTCCTCAGTTGCCCCGTCTTGGGGTATCATATAACAATATCCGGGAGGTGTCACAGTGCAAGGAATTATTTGGCGGCAGAGAGCAACAATATATTTTTAGCTGTTCTCAAACTCAATTTACATGGTCAGTGTCTGCCACCAAAAGTAAATGATTACTTTATAGGCCACTCTAGCCTAGAAGAAAAATAATAAAGTTTGTCAGAGCCAAGCAAATATAGATACACATATGGTAGGAATACAAATCTGATATTTATCTGTTAGTATCTTTATATTTATGGGAAGGACAAATTACTCACAGGAAAGCACATTTTCTTTTTAACTAAGGGCTACATTTATTACTGCACAAAGTTAATTTGTGATATCCAAACAGGTTTAATTAAACACTGGCAATTATAATATTGTGAAGCTACAAAACAAACCACGAGATTCTACATGAATTCAAACCATAAAATAATCCATAATATGAGTTCATCTGTTAGTTTTTTGGGGGTTAATTTGACATTTTGAATGGTATTGATGTTCTCTTTTTACTTTCAGCAAAAAAAGAGAGATATTTCTCAAAATGTGCAGGTACACAATCAGTAGAAATATAGATCTGATACATATGTCTGTAAGTATCTTAAAATATATGGACAGGACAAATGACTCTGGGCAGTTTGAAGTAATTTATCTTGCTGTAGCGTTTTATTTAATGTCCACTTTATAGAAATAGCTTGTCATTTGTATATTCACTTTCTTGCCAATCTAGAAGGCAAGAAAGGAAATAAGAGTAGTTCCGCATACAGTATCAAAGTATTGCTTTAAATGTAACTCTCGTAGTTTTATAAATAGAACAATATCTTCCACAGATAACCATCATATCTTTGTAGACTGTAATATACACAAGAGATTGTATCACCCTGTTTGATAACAAATCATCACAAGCTTACTCATTTGCTGTAGCAGAAACATTTATTGGTTTACTTTGTTGAATTCATTCCACAGTTATAAATGAAGAGAATAATATAGAGGATCTCTTTTTAGCATTCAGGTAACTGAGCTGTGTTGGGCATGTACTTTTCTGTTATTGACACTGTAGTCTGTTTACACCACAAACAAGCCACTCCTTAGGAGACCTCTGAGCCTGATCCCATGTTTCCTGTGAGCTCACACTGATGGCTCTTCTGATACAGGTCAGTATGTCTGTAGCTGTTCCCAGAACTGATCCTGTGCCGTCTCCCCTACAGAGCATGGCCCTGCCCTCCGTGGTGGTGTTGCCCCTGCTGATCGTCGTGGCAGCTGGGGTGTACTACATCTACAATGAGGTCATACACTTCATGTCCCAGTCCATAGTGCGAAACAAAGTGGTGGTGATCACTGATGCTGTGTCCGGGCTGGGAACTGGTACATTTTCCCACTGTTTTACGTTTTTTTAACTTACTTCTATTGCCATAAAGGTTTTGGTTTACCCTGTCTGTAAGCAAGAAGGGTAAAAGTCAAATTCCATGAAGAATCACTACACTTATCCTTGGGAGTTTAGGAACTATTCACTTTCAGGAATATTGTGTTATGAATACAAGTAGCTATAGACTCGATCGTTTTATCTGTCAGGAAATACCCTCTTTGACTGTTTTTCTGTGAGTCTCTATCGATACCAGTCTGAAATATCTGTACGTTAAATATCATGCAATAGCAAGATGGCTGTTAGCTTAGCGCTTTTTCCTCTTTGGACAGAGGCTAGCTGTTTCCTGCTTGGGCCTACACCCAGTCTTAATGCTAAACTAAGCCCACTGTGGGTATCAATGTTTTAATTTCAATCCAATCTAAGTTATTTTTAAGCATAAAAGGATATACAAACTCTTACTGACACTTAACTCTCCTTTACAAGATGTATTATTAAGTGTAACTTTAGAGCAGCTGGAGGCCATATTTCTTTCTTTGGACAGAGCCAAGTAAGCAGTTTCTGTTTTCTACATAAGCTATTTAGCAGCTGGCAGAAGCCTTTTTTAGCATATCATCTTCTTATCGATCTCTTATCAAGTTAACAAAAAAGCGTATGCAAAACAAATCTGCTATTAATCCTTTACAAGGTAACGTTATTCACTAGTTATTTTCTTTCCATTCAGAGTGTGCCCATCTCTTCCATAAGGGTGGTGCCAGACTGATCCTGTGTGGCAACACCTGGGATAAACTGGAGTCTCTGTATGACCAGCTGACCAACGACTCTGACCCCAGCCAGGTGAGGAAATGAAAATGGTGCATGCTGGTCTTCATATTTATATGAAGCATCATAAACTTGGTCCTCCAAACTAAAACCATTACTTGTCTTGTGGTGGTGAGTCATTTTATGGCAGCTTAGAAACAAAATGCATTGGCTGCCGCAGTAAACACTACTATGTCCTCTCTGTTAGTATACACTGGAAATATTGGCAGTACAATGACAAATTGTCTGAAGACCAAACACATAAAGCAACTACAAAAACCTTAAACAGTCATAAAGAATGAACAAAAGGCACCAATATGTTTTTAAAGCAGGAGTAACAGGCTCTGTCCTTGTTTTGTGATAGTCCTCTGTTCCGTCGCCACCTCCCACATCACCACTTCCACCTTGTGTCAACACAATAGCAGGATATCCTCTCTGACAGCATGCTGTCCTCCATGTGTCTCCTATACACAGGTCAGAGCAGATGTGTGCATTATCACTGACAGGAGGTGCTAGCTTGATGTTGGACCTTTCTTGTATTATATAATGGTATGATAGCATTGTTGTCTTGTTATTACTACCCAAAGATTAAATATTTCTTATGAGAACAACACATGACTTCATCGAAGTAACGTTTGTCTTAATAAATATTAACAATGAGCCTTGTTAACTTTAGAAATAAATGATCGTTTGTTATGAGTCATTTGAGGTCTATTATTGTTGTTGAAGTAGACAGAGTCCCCCAGATGGATTTCGATCAGAAACAGCCACCAGGGCGCCCTGAATTAAGAAACGTGCCTCATTATAACAAGACAAGCTGCTATTTTATATAACGACAAACTTCCATATGTTTTTGTAATGAGAACAAGGCAAGACAAATTGACAATGGCTGGTTTACATTCATTGATGAATTTGAAGATTGTGTCGAAATCTGAACAAAAACAAGGTAATATCTACACAACAAACTAAGAGATCCTGAATACATTCAAACCATTAGATAATCAATAATATGACTTAATCCTTCTTTTTCAAAGGGGTGGTTTGATATTTTGAGAAAAACCAGCTAGACAAAAAATATTTTTTTTATTGATTTTCTCATTTTAGTTAAAGGTGGGGTAGGTCATTTTGGAGAAACCAGCTCGAGATCGCTAGAATTTGAAAATACACAACCGGAAAAAATCTGCCCCTCCTCCAACACACACGAACGCGCACATGACCAATGAGGGCACGAGATAAGTTTGTGCACAGATGGAAGGCTGACAGGCAGGTAGGCCATCCAGTTATTTGAGCCGGGCCGGCTAAAATGATTGGTCGTGCTTTTTACAGTACTACGGCTTCCACAGATGACATTTTTTTATGTATTTATTGTCAAAGCATTTAATGTATTCATTGCTATCGGGATGTTAAGAGCATTCCATGGAATATAACAAAAAGTGTTTCTGAAATAAATTACATACCCCACCTTTAAAGCAAGAAAACAAAATGTATAACTTTTGTATTCAGTGATAATATGAACATGCTAGACTAGACAAACAAAACATATTACTGTACACACAGTACAACCCTGTGTCTCCCCAGACGTTCGCCCCAAAGCTGGTGATCGTGGACTTCAGCGACATGGACAGCATGGAGGACGTGGTGTCAGAGGTGGTGGATTGTTACGGCTGTGTGGATGTGTTGATCTCTAACAGCAGCATGAAGCTAAAGGCCCCGGTGCAAAGTGTCTCCCTGGAAATGGACAGAAACATCATGGACATTAACTACTTCGGCCCCAGCACTCTGGCTAAAGGTGGGCTGGACCTTCCTGAGAAAACCATCACCACTGATTTCATAGTGATCTTTTTTTTTTAAATTGCTAATCTGTCCATATTACGTGGCAGGCATTATTCCAACAATGATCTCGAGAAGATCCGGCCACATCGTGCTGGTCAACAGTATCCAGGGAAGACTGGCTGTCCCATTCAGAAGTTCATGTGAGTTTCCAAAATAACTTTAATCAACCATTTCCCCCCTATAGTTCTTATTGTTTTCAATCATTACATGTCAAACAAACACTTGTACATGTACATGTACACGCACACAATATATTATACTGCTATTTATACAAACACAAATGATACAAAAAAATAAAAATGGAGTTGCATTCTCATAAGTTTGTTTGTTTTATATATACAGTCTATGGTTTTAACATGTTCTTCTACTAAGACCTTTGTCTTAATAGTATTCTATATATCGCTGGTTTAATGACTGAATAATGACCATTTCTCCCATTTTGATTCAAACAGCGATTCTTTCAGGCTCAAGAGATTTGTCAGTTTTTCCATGATATAGGCTTCATATCTCTGTCCATTGCTGTTGAGTATGTTCCATCTTACACCATTGACTTTTGATTAATTTCTTACAGCTTTAACATTATTAAATTCATAATAAAATAAAAAGATCCTTTTTCCCTTGTGTCTTTTGCATAACGTACGCCAATTTCCAAATCTTTATAGTTCTTAAGTATTTCCAGAATATGTGTGTGGTCTGCATCCCATGCTCCACATTCCTTACATTCAAGTGTTTGAACCTTATGCATCACAAAAAAATCTGTTACATTTTTTCCAAGAGAATTCCCTCCTCATCCATGATTGTTTAAAGATGATTAATGATTGATGATGATTCATTTCCACATGTTTTGCTAAACATCTTCTGAAAGTTTTTTTGTTGTTGCTTAAATCGTGAAAATAATATTTTCACATGTTCCTCTTACAATTATGCAGCTAGCCATTGTATTCAATCAGAACTTTTTTTAATTGTTCTGTTTCAACTGTTCTGAGAGGTGTTGACTCAACTGGTCATTGTAGAAGATGTTTTTGTAGTGCTGTGGAAAAGTAATGCGTTTTAGGTGTTTACATTTCTTTGTTCATCCCGAGTTTAATTTCAAACATGTAACAAACACGTGAACACAACCAACATAAAAATGAACAATAAACACATATAGTATTATGTACAAATCCTCATAAGTTATATAAATAAATAACTTAAATAACTATTACCTATTACATGTTAATGTATGTGTTTTCAATATGATGCAACAGAAGTCTTCCTGTAGCAGAAAACTGTTAAAGTATATTGTCTGCAATGTGTGGAATGAACTTCTTTACAACTGTGACACACCTCTTTGTGTGTGAACAATGTGTGTGTGTGTGTGTGCGTGTGTGCGTGTGTGTGTGTGTGTGTGTGTGTGTGTGTGTGTGTGTGTGTGTGTGTGTGTGTGTGTGTGTGTGTGTGTGTGTGTGTGTGTGTGTGTGTGTGTGTGTGTGTGGGTGTGTGTGTGTGTGTGTGATCTCTCAGATTCTGCATCTAAGCATGCGGTGCAGGCTTTCTTCGACTGCCTGCGGGCTGAAGTGAAGGAGTATGGGATAGAAGTGAGCACCATCAGCCACACCTTCATCAACGCCTCGGAGCCCCCGCCTGAGGAGGGGCCCGCCCCCAAAACAAACGTTGTGGCTGCATGTGAGTAAAAGAACCGGAATGGAAGAGACTCACAGGGTAATGATTTACGAGTTATCATCCCAGAGGTGATTTAGATAATGGGATATGAATGTGTGAGGTCTTTTAGATTAGATTAGATTGGATCAACTTTATGGATCCCAAATTGGGAAATTGTTTTATTACACAGAATGTTAACAAGGCATTGCACTTGAGATATAAGACAATTAAAAAATACACATCAACAGTAGAATATTGAATCTCTTTGGAAAATTCTATATAAAATATACAGAATAAATTCAACTAGACCGACCTACTGCTTTAAAAATGTAAACATAGGATACTATAGATACAATATACAAAGTACAATGCAACAAGCAAAGTATGTTGTTATAGCAGCATGTTAAAAAGCAATTGCACAGAAATATATTAAAATACAAAAATAAACAGTAAATATACACATCTGAACAGTACAAGGATATACTATAGTTATACAATATCTATAAAATTAAAAACAAAATATATAATTACACAAAATAAGATATGCACTGTAATATACCTACTACAAAAAGAATACAAAAAGAATACAAACATACCATATACCATACGCTCTGATACCATACATTATACAGGTGTGTATAGTCGTTTGTTTTTCATTAAAATGTAAGTGCGATATAGAAATTGTTTTGTTCAACAAGGAATTGCACAGAAAACAGAAAAAAAGATAATATATACATATCCACGGTACAAGGATACACCGTATATCTATAAAATATCTAGGATAAATCAATATTAAATATACAGGAGCAGTTAAAACTAGAGAATGCAATTCCTGAAGAAATTGCTAGTGGGAATGCTTTATGCTGAAAATCTGACGCTAAACTGCTATGCTGAAATGTAATGTGTAAGAAGAAAGTGAATAATTTAGATTGAAATGATACATGAACACTGGGGGCTTGAATGTGTGATGAGTGAAGAAAAGAAAGTAAAAAGGCTTGGAAAAGCAGCAGAATATTTGAACTGCAAACTTTTGAACTAACTTGATGGTGAATGATCTGTCGCCATGCCAACGGCATTTGATGACATCCCATAATACGCTTAGATGCGTTGATGGCTGCATCGTTACCAAACCTGTGAAGTTTTGGGCCGTTTGGAGCATTTTCACTGAAGTTATGAGAAAACCATGTTTCATGGCGGGCATTGTGTTGCCATGTCAACGGCATGTCCCGTAGATGTCTTCATGGCTGGACTGTTAGCACACATGTGAGGTTTGAGCACTTTTTGAACATTTTCATAGGAGTTATAGCGACATCGTGTTTTATGGCGAGGGATGCGTTTCAATGGAAACGGCATATGGTGAGATCTCAGATTTGGCGTAGAGCTGTTGAGGCATGGACCGGTGATATACAAGTGAAGATTGGGGGACGATTGGACTGTGTCCATTGGACTTACAGCGACATCGTGTTTCATGGCGAGTGGTCTGTCGCCATGGCAACGGCATTTGATGACACCCCATAATACGCTTAGATGCGTTGATGGCTGCATCGTTACCAAACCTGTGAAGTTTTGGGTCGTTTGGAGCATTTTCACTGAAGTTATGAGAAAACCGTGTTTCATGGCGAGCATTGTGTTGCCATGGCAACGGCATTTGAAGAAATCTCAAAACTGTCCCGTAGATGTCTTCACGGCTGGACTATTAGCACACATGTGAAGTTTGAGCACTTTTTGAACATTTTCATAGGAGTTAATGTATAGCGACATCGTCTTTTATGGCGAGGGATGCGTTTCCATGGAAACGGCATATGATGACACCCCATAATTGACGTAGAGCTGTTGAGGGCAGGACCATTAAGCATTATTTGAAGTCTGCTGCTCTGAGCATGTCAGTTGGAGTTATGACATCATCGTGTTCCATGACACAGGTGTTTATAGTTGAGCTAACGAGGTGTCCAGAGATCAAAGGTTTGCATTGTTCTGAATGAGAGATGAACCTCTTACATGTGAACGTTTTGTTGAAGAACCGTAACAGATATCGGTGAAATTTCAAAGCGTGAAGCATCTCAAGGAAGTTGAGTATCTGAAGCGTGCTTTTTGTGTACTTTCGGGTCAATAATGTGGCCTTTTTGGCAGATTAACTAAAGGTGTGCGGCTGCTGCTGTGAGGAAATATCAGCCTGAAATTACAATGGGATTTAATGGAGACATGTTCAAAGTTTTTGTCACTTCATGTCCTCAAGAGGCATTTTGTTTAATTATTTTTCATTTTTCAAGCTACGAGATGTTTTCCTATACGTTTGTCATGAAAAATTATGTCTCAGAAGTGTAGGGTTTGGGAATTATGGCAGGTGTAAAAAGAAATATGAAAGGGAATTTCAAACTGTCCTCCACTCTAACTCTGACATCACACACTCTGCCTTAACGAGCTGCGCAATGTTAAAGCTGAAGAAGGCCTCTTTACCAAGGTCTGAACAATGTTTAATATTTATAAAAGTATGAATCTGATTTAAAAGTTGTTTAATATGAATAATGTCAGAAAGATGTGTAACATTTTAAAGTTGGAATGAGGTTTCTGAGTGAAAGTATGAATGAACAGTTAGCAGTTGAAGTCGCATGAAGATTGTTCAAGTCTGAAGAATTTCTCCATTGACTTCAATGGTTAAAAATGTGATGAATTATGGGATGTATCTCTGGAATTATGAAAGTTATGAATGATAAAAGTAATAGCACTCGATTCCCGACCGAGCTGAACGTTTTGATGTTTGAACGGAGTTTCTGCGATGTGGAATGTGGGAGAAGAAGACCGGCAAAATAACGGGCGGAATAAAGATTTTGAAGAACAGATAGTTGGAATGCTGTATCAGCATTCCCACTAAAATACTCTATAATAGACCAATGTACTACTAACATAAAGTAATCATTAGATATATATAGTATCTAATGATTACTTTATTTTAGTAGTAAATTGGTCGTGTGCAAAGCAGTAGCTGTTTTTTGATTAAAATGTAAGTGCAATGAGGTCATGTGGAAGTATAACGTGCACAACGTGTTCTTAAAAAGGAAAACTAAAAATATAAATAAAATTACTATTTGTAAATGTTTAGAATATCACTTTATTGTAGACACCTCTAACTGTATGTGTTCTTCCATAGTCATCCGCAGCCAGTGGGTCCACGGTGTGAGCCCCTCGGTCCTGGCCAATGAAATAATGCAAACGGTAAACAGGAAGAGGAAGGAGGTGGTGCTGGCCCACCCCATCCCCAGGGTGGCCCTCTACCTCCGCTCCCTCTTCCCCTCCTTCCTCTTCGCTGTGCTGGCTGCAGGAGCCAAAGACTCAGTGCTGAATGAGCAGATGCAGTGAGAGAAATGGAATCATGTGAAGTGAAGGATTGTGTGGAGATGGTAGATAAGTATTATGTGCTTGACTTAAGATGTATCACAAGCTGGGCAAAGTAGGCAACTCCACTGGGCCCCGGACCCTTAAGGCTCCAGGCTGATCATATGTGTGTGTGGCACTTTCAAATTTAAGATTTTCATCAAATAATCCCTGTTTATCATATTATTTATGGTCTTACACATTCTGTTATGACCTCTCTGTATAGTCCATTGTTCCCATGCTGCATTCAATGTACCTCCACGTGTACAACAATGTAATTCAGTGCTACTGTGTGTGCTATATCAGCATCATTGTTTATTGTTAGCTTCTCCTACGGCTACATAAAAGCAAACAGAGAATATCCGTCTTGAATTGTGCCTTGTGTTTCACTTGATCAGAATAAGGTATTGATATCATGCACTTTATGTTCAGTACATGGAGAGTATTCAGTGTCGGATTTGCAGATGAAATATCAGCCAGTAGCAGAGATTTGAAGCAAATATGTGATGAACTAGCTCCAACCCTAGAACTAGTTCTAATATGAACATGTTCATTTACTTAAGTTACATTTGTAGGTACTTGTTTACTTCTGAATTGCAATGTTATGACACTTTATGGAAGCAAAGCAAAGGCAATACAGATAAGTAGTTGTAGTACTTAAAGGATTAAGGTACATTCAGATAACTGCTCCAGCACTTACTATGGTTTGTGAAGCAAATGGACTTGGAGGATTCTTGCTGAGTTGTATCTTCATGGTTGAAAGCCATTATTGTAAGGCGCTTTAGATCAAAGTTTGAAATGATATATAATGTCATGTAATGTAATTGTGGCAGGAAGAAGGAGAAGAACCCCAGATGGCAAGAGCAGACGGGATTGCATTTCACTGGAGTTGAAACTTTCATGTGACAAATAAAATTGCTTGATTATCTGCATTTATGGTGTCTTCGTTCCCTTCTTTCAAAAGCTAGTTTGAATTTAGACATTAAATATGAGTGTACAACATTATAAAAACTTTGTTCAAGTAGCTAAGATTAAGGTGCGTTCCAAATCCCATTCTTTTTACTTTTAATACTACAGCTGCCCTTCCAAAGGTGTCCCAATGTTCTACTGTATGCATGCAGTTCGGATATTCTACTTAGAAACATGGCACCTTGAACTTTGACCCTCTTGCTTATGTATCTACTATGCAAAGGATTGTGGGTCAGAATAGCCAGAAAAGCATGCATATTGCAAAATGTGACCAACGCTATATTGCATACTGCATTTGACATATTGGGACACATATTTTTCTAGCATATTAAATAGTATGGTGGAATAGGTATTTAGATAATATGACACAGCAATTATGCCCTAATTAATTAGATCAGACCTTCATCATATGACCCAAAAAAGATTTTAGATAAGCGATAGTAAAACCATAAAAATTACAAACACTATTTAAAATATTATTCTGATTATATACAATATATTCAGTGTATAATTCTACTCCACAAAAATAAAGAGACAAGCATTTTCTTACCCTATTTAGGATGAATAAAGTATATATTTAATCTCTGAAGAGCCCTGGGACGTGCATGTAATTTCCATGTGTGTCCTCTAGGTGGCAGCAACATCTATCTAATAACACTATGACCTGTAAAACATTTCTTCTGAAATAAACCCAAGAAGTTCAAGTGAAAATGTCCGACATAGATACAATAAAATAACATGGAATAAAACATTTAAATGAAATAAGAAGTACATGTAAAAATGTCCAATAAAAAAGAAATAAAAGGGACAAAACAACAATATTAATAAAGTTGAAGTAAAAAGTGTCAAATAGAAATAAAATAAAACGAAATAAAAATATAAAATGAACATATGAAGTTAGAGTCAAATGTGTCCAATAAATGTAAAATCAAATAAAATGGAATAAAAATAACCATAAGAAATACAAATAAAAATGTCCAATTAAAAACAATTAAATGGAATAAAAATATTAAATATATATAGGAAGTTAAAGTAAAAATGTGCCCATCACTGCAATATACATTACAACATTTATAATCAACAAATCATTTCTCTACAACAAAGGCTCTACACTGACAGATGCAATACGTCCAATTACACGTCACTCACAGATTTATAGCACTCATCACTTCAGGCCTGCAGGACAGGAGAGACTCTCTGGTATTATCCTGTCAGGATTACATGGTGGAATCAATGCTGATCCATGTGCTCTGCTGATTACTTGTTGTATACAAATAACCTTTGCATTATGACACATTATAGCAGAAAACAAATGTCACATGACTCTGTGACAAAGGCCAACCACCATTTCTGTGATGCAAATGAGGAGTAAATTCAGAGGGGCCATTCCAAGTCTCTGTGTGTGTGTGTGTGTGTGTGTGTGTGTGTGTGTGTGTGTGTGTGTGTGTGTGTGTGTGTGTGTGTGTGTGTGTGTGTGTGTGTGTGTGTGTGTGTGTGTGTGTGTGTGTGTGTGTGTGTGAGTAGTAGAGACCACTGGTGTCTAGTCCAGCTGGTATGCGTGCGTCTGTCCTCCAGGTCACTCTCCTCTGGGGAGTTCAACATCCTTTGTCCCTGGGGCGGCAGACAGGAATGTGTCTCTAATGTCCACATGAATAAATGCAGCTTCATGACATTTCCACCTGTCAAACAGGAAGCTTTTTCTTCGGAGCACTCAGCTGGACTCTGCAAATTGGCATTTTGATCTGACACATTTACATGTGTCACACGGCGCGGCATGATCCCTGTATGTTTCATGGCATGTAATAGAGGTCAGATCCTGATATGAATAATTGCTTAACAAGAGTTTCCGGAGAGATCGTGAGCCCTGTGTGTCGTATCAGCGATTACATTGTCAGATTTAAAGCTATATCATACAAAAATGCATCCAAGTATGTAGGAAAATCTGAGAATGATCTGAGCCTAATAGTTTCTCTCAATCATGTGTGAGCAATATGATGATAAGGCCCAAACACAGAAGAGAGGACTGTCCTGAAGCAATAATGAAAGTGAAGCATCCTGAATGTGAGCATGACTTATATATGAGAATCACCTCGCAGGGACGTGTACTGCTCAGAAATGGTCTTTCCATGAGCGAGGTGATCACCCTTATCAATTTTTAAAGCCTGGGTTATTGACACTAACCTGACTTATGGAGGTTATGCAGAGGCCATGGTAATGATTCCCTAAGCTTTCACATACAGCACCAGAGGGGCGGGTTAAATATTGGTTGATGATGGAGGAGGTTATTGCTCCAATGAGTATTAAGGTAATGTCTACACAGTGGGGTTCTCTTCGTCCATCTGTTGTTGCTGGGGTGTTTTTATTCTGGCCTGTGGTGTAACTGGGAGACAGATATAAGTGTCCAAAAATAGACTAAAAGCAACTATAAATGTTCCTTGTTTACGACCACAATGCCACAACAATATAAAATTATGTTTTTATTCTTATACATATTTTGTATTATTGTTTAAAGCTCTTCTTTTTCTTTGTCTGACCTTGTAGCTTGGAAATAAATGTCTAGTTAAGCCCTTAAACAAACAAAAAGCAAGAAAAATAATTAAAACCAATTATCTTTGCATATTTTTGTAAATGATTCTCAATTAAATATTCATTTAAAAATATTAAGCTTTTGTATTAAGTCATACCAACCAATAGTGTTAATTATTTTCTTTTTGATGTGCAACTTTCTCTTCCATGACTATTAAACTAAACTTTTTAAATTACACTTTCTATATAAAAAAGCATGACTACTAATTATATGTTAATGAAGGTAGATTTTACAATTATTGATTTTATTTAATTTTATTATTAGAAACGTTACTTATTAGCTGTAATATTCCTTTCCTGGCACATTTGGCAAAATGTGTGGGTACTATAGGTCACAGTTTGCATTTTGCGAACAATTACAAATTCAATGACCAATAAACAGATCTTGTGCAGCAGCTCTGTCAGACACTTAACAGTTGTTGTCGTTGTGTTTTTACAGGGGCAAATAAAGTGTGAATTTAGAAGATTCATTGCTTTCAGCCCACGTAAATCTAAAGCCACACTTATCGTTATATTTATTTAACGATGGATCAAATGACCAGGTGTAGTTTGAAAGTATCTTTTACCTACAAACGCAGAGCTTTAAGGAGCTTTTTAGCAACTTTGAAGTTTGTTGATTTGGTTATACTGCCAAAACTTCACTGCTGTGGTTCACTGTCACCCCCCCATTGACCTCATCATCGACCTTATTCCCAGACACAGCAGGCCGTTTTCTTTGGAAAAGCTCTGAAACCTAAAGACTACATGCTCAGAAACAAACTGCAGACACACAAAGTTAGTGGCTAGCTATTTGCAACACATTCTCACTCCCAACTCGTACTGTAGTGACGTTATGTCAGGATCCCTTGGCGTCACTATCAAAGGCAGTGGGGGGCCCTTTAGCGTCAATATTCAACGATCAGGGACTCCCATTGACTTGCATAGAGCTCGCTGAATGTTGGTAATAGACGAGTTGGGATCGCGGAGAAATGCTCTCCGCAGACCCATTCTCACAGCGTTTATCAATCTTTTTCTTTGATTGTATAATGTCGGACTTTTGGAGTCCGTCAGGACCGAGGGTCGGAGCAGCTCAGTTGCTTTTAGAGAATTTTACACCCGGAAGTAAGTATTCTCTCCGCTTTGCTTGACAAACCCCGTGATTAGTCCTCAAGCTCTGTGATTGGATGTTGGAGTGGCAGTGCGCCAAGGTTACGCCGAGCGTCAAACAGCACTTGGAAATGGAATGAAACCCATCCACGGCACACTATCCAAAACAGCATTCTAACGAGTCCACCAGAACTACACATGCTGGCTATTGTGTTTCGCAACATGTTCTATGGCACGTCTCTACTGGGAATTGTAGTTTTAAAAGACGTTTTCGTATTTCCCATAATTAGAAGTTGCCAGAATTAAACTGTGTACACCCCTGGAGGTTTAGGGGATATGAAACACTCAAATTTAAAATATATAATTAATAAATGGGTGAAAATTGCTTGTGTCCATAATGGGCAGCATTAATATACCCACATGACAGCTAAGGTCAGAATAGCTTTCTTTAATAGCTGGTCTTATGTCTGTGACCCCTCCTGTTGTTAATTGATAAGCCTGAAACATGCACTTTCAGAGGCAAATGTTGCAAATATGGCAGTAGCCATCGATCATCTTAAAGTGGACCTATCATGCTATATTTAAATGATATATTGTAGGGCTATACCTATATAAGGTATATTTATACGTTTCTGTTTTCAAAATACCAAACAGATCATGCATTTTAGCCATGCCTCATTTCGCTCTATGTGCTGTTTTCCAGCCCTGTTTTTGCAGGGGGCTGATTCTGTGAGCTGCATCTGACCACGCCCCCCTGCAGGGGAGGGGAGCCGCTCTGATCAAGTCAGAAGAGGGGGAGAAAAATAGATCTCCGTCCTCCGTGTTTTATTATAGCCTATTATTATATAGAGTCGTTATTAATTTGTTTTAAAGCTCAATAAATAACAAAGAAGACCTTTGACCGGCACTTTTCTAATTTTGTCCGGAAGATTTAAACTTTAACGGACATCTTGACCGGCGAAAGAAAACCTAACTGAAACTCTGCCGCACGGTCCCCTCGTTCCTTGGAAGAGGCGGAGAGGTGGGTGTTTGTCATCTGCTGGTGGACTAACCGGAGAGAATTACAGTGCTTGCCTCGACGGGGAGGGATTGCATTGAATTAAAGCAGCGGGAGCAAACGCTTGCCTCGGGGAGGGAGAAAAAAAGCCACAGCAGAGAATAAACAGAAGGGTAACCATGGTAACCATGCGCGGGAAGTCTTCTTCGCTGCTTTTGTGGCAGACTACAGCGCCACTTACAGGCCTGGCATATGTACTACAGCGTCTCCAGCGCTTTCGAGTGGCAATGGCCG